CCACACGTAGCAAACAGAACAGTGCAAAAATTACATTAGTCAGGTGTCGAAGTTTTACCTCATCCCTCACATTCCCCTGTTTTATTACTGGACTGCGGATGTTTATGCATTCATGGGAAATTTTAATTTTCAAAAAACTACAGTATGCATTTAATATGTAAAAATATAAGAAATACTTAAAGTAAGATACGAATTATTATATTTAGGGGTTGAGGCAACCCACTACGAAGCTCCCATTTCATTAATTCTATTAATAAAAATATGAATCTGTATAAAGATCCACAGTCTAGTAATAATTTTCTATTGTAGTTTCTCAATGTCTGTCTCAAATCACGATTATTCACGATTACAGCAACGACTCAAACTCATCTATAAAATACACCTATCTTTTGCCAACAAAAAATTAACCATTCCAATGGCAGACTTATCACCTGATTTTCACTTTTTTCATTCACTTGACACTTTTCTTAGAGGAAGACGATTTAGGAATCACGAGAAAATCAAAAACGCCTTTCAGCAGTTTCTTTCCATCCAAGATTTTGACTTCTATGTAAACGGAATTAATGTTCTTGTATAACGTTGGAAAAAGTACATAGAAAACGACAGAAATTAGTTTTAATAAAAATATTGAACCGGAGTTATATTCTTTTAAAATGGGTGACCCAGTAATAGTACTATAAAGTAAGTCACTCAGACGATAATGTATTTTATGTATAATGTAATCGAATGTACATGATATCAAAACAATGATATCAAAACGGGTGTAAAATAACATTTACCGCGTTTTCGGGGTAAATGCCCCACTGCGCGTCGGAAATCGACCTGGATCGATAATCTTTGGTCGCGTTTGAGAACCTTGAAAGCGGTTCACCTTTCTTTTTCATCGTGGAAGGGGGCACTTGTCTGAGATAAAAATTTTCTTACACACTTTTTGGCACTTTCGCGGGTAGTCGCCGAGGGACCATGTTCGCACGAAGCGCATCGGTCCTCGCGTGACTCGAGATATTTTAATAGATAATAGCGAGCAATTTTATTTCGCGTGCAGCTGACGAGGGTCCCGGCCGTTTCGGTCATGTTGCTTTCGCGGCGGTAAATTTCATTTTCATCCAATTCGTACTGTTTCGAAAGTCGTTAGGCGTTCCCCTTGGAAACGACGATCTCTGGGCGTCGCGATCCATCGGAGCCCCGCGAGCACGTGTCTGTCGGATAGCGAAAAATCGCGCGTTATTCGAGGCCGGGAGAGAGAAAGAGAGGATCGAAACTGGTGCGCGGAAGGGAGTCGCCGCTTTCGACTTGCACGGTCGATCGAAAGCGAAATGAAAAATTTCGCGGCGCGCGGAGAGAAGAGAGGGCCAGCAAAAAGGAGCTTCGGGTCGAGCAGGAGAGTCGAGAGCTTTCCCGTTATGCGCCTCCTCTCTAAGCTGATTTCGAGCTGGCGGGCAGAGACCGGTACCGCTAGCTTCCCAGAAATCGACGCTCGATAATACCTCTCGATACGGATGAAGCAATCTCCTACTGTCGCACCGCGCGAGAGGGGAAAAAGACTGCCCCGCGACAGAGGGTGGGGAATCGACGTCCACCGTGTGGGGGGGGGGAAGTCGCACATATAACCAACACCACCGGCTCATGTTTTATTCATCGGTTAAACGAATTCGAGGTGTACTCCTCATCGCACGCTTCCTCATCGCCATCGCGGACCGATAACGCGACGATGTCCTTCTTCTGAGCGAGCTTGCAGGGCTTCCTCCCTATTTCACGATATTTTCGATCCAACCACCTCCCGTCAACCCATAAACTTATATTTTCCTAATACTCATAGAAATAAAACTATCTTTACTTTAGAAAATACCTTACATTTTTCTAAATTTTAATTATATTTTTAAAAAGTCATGCAAATATCAGGATCGAACATCGTTGAATCACTTTTCTGTACAATTTTACGAGTCGAATAAACCGTAAATTTAAAACCGTTAATATATACGTTTTGTCCCATTTTCGTTTAGAAACCTCTTCAAGGACCTTACAATTCTTTAAGAAGCATTTAATTTTAAATACTTTTAAGAATCGTAAGACTTGTAAAAAATTTTTTAAAGGAAAATGGGACTATACACTATCATCTGCGACATATATACAGAACAATAACATTTCTTCTTCGATCAAAATTCTTGAATTAAAAAATGATCTATACGCATTCGTGAAGTTACATTTGTATTATACGTATCACGAAAATATTTAAAAAAGATAAATAACAAAAATACCAGTACAGTACCATTTTTTCACGCGGTTCTTCCTCGGAGTTTTAGCAATACATTTTTCATTATTTTGTTCACAGAGAGTGAAACGTTTGCAAGCGATTTTTGAAATGACGAGAAGACAGATTTTCGTCGATATACAAATGTCTCTCTGTCATGTATTTTTTTGCGGATTCTCAAAAACTGTTAGGCAATTCGGACCGTTTCGAAGAATGTTCTCGAATAGCAAAGTGAATCAGGTAGATTCAGCGTCTCAAGTAATTGCGTCTGACTTAAATTCGATTCTACTGACCTGACCTACTATGATCGCCGCGTCCAATGTTGACGGTCGATTCGTGAATGTCTCTCGAACTTGCTAGAAAATATGCAACATTTCTAAGATATTCGGCGAATAAACGCTCGTATCCGGCCAGATTCGTTGGTCGTTGTACGATCCAGACTGTTTTTCGCACATTCGAAATCGAAACTTGGCATTGTTCCGTTCGCCTTATGCTGTCCATTCGCTCGATTTTTCACCGTAAAACTTTGTTGATTTAAACACTAGACGAGACCAAAATTAATAACGCGTCACGTGATAGAAAGTATGCGGTTAACAAAATTTATATTCGTTTCGGAAACATTGTAACAACGGCTACGCGTTTGCAATAATTCAACCGATCGATTTAGCTGACTGGCAATCTTATCTGATATCCTCACTCGTTGCGAATCACTCTAATATTTTTTTTTTTCGAATCTCGAGCGTTGTAATATTCCGCTGAAACGTCATGATAGATTGTTGCTGTTCGACGAGAAAGTCATGACATTAACCGTGATAGGTTTCGTTCACACTTATTCCGTGCTACGACGGAGCACGGTTTTCCTTTTATTTTCGATAAGGTCGGTTTGTCACCTAATATTTATACCGGCTACATTTCAAACGTCACTCACAGATTCGGTCTCAATTCTGCGTGGTTGCATCATACGAAACGTTAGTGAAAGCATTCTTTTCTCCTTTTTCAACGATCTCGTCGAACGCATTCGCCGGAAAGTGCTCGTCACAGTGTTACGTAACTTGCATTCAACATCCTGCAGAAGGAAATTTCAGATTCAAGATCGATCGATTTTCTCGATGGTCGACAATAGAAATGTCGCATCGATGATGGCGTATAATTTTGCAGATCTAAACGGCGCCCAGAGTAAAAACAGCAAGTCACGAAGGACGGAATCGTCCGATTTTCCGGTTCTTTTATTTTTTCAAATGGAAAATGTTTAAAAAATAAAGAGCCGTAGGTAGTTTTCCAGCGTAGTCGGAGATGTGTCGAGTAGGTTAAAGGTAGGCCGGAAAGTAAGTAGGATCGAAGATACAGAAGGCGAAAGCGTAGCTTACTCCAGTTTTCCAGTTGGCCAAATTCCGTCGTAAAAGGCGAGCTCGGCTCGCGTCGCGTAAGTTTTTCTCGTCTCGCGTCCCTCAGGCACCCCAATGGCCCTAAAAGGCCCATCGAAAAAGCCACAGCCGGCCACGTACGTGAACGCGGGAGAACATCTCCCCGGGAAAAACGAATGATTTTCGGGAGCCGGTGCCGCGAGCGAAGGGCCACTTTGGAAGCATGATGAACCGTAGTAGCGTCCCGAATCAATAAACGTCAAGTACATCGAAATAAAGGCGGAATAAAGCGTGTCTGGATGGGAGCGCAGCCGGTCTCACGAGGTACTCGCTGGACTGGAGGCACACCACCATGCTGCCAGAAAACCCGATGGCACCTTAAGGAGAGAAGTCAAGGGCAAGAAGCGTCCCTTCGTTACCCAGTCTGGCCCAGCTTGGGCCCTACTTGGACCCCACTCCAGCCCGCGTCCACCCCCTCCCCATACCTCTTCTGTATCTCTTGTAGAATCCCCTGCTCCTCCAGCCCCTTCACCTTTCTGGATCTCCCTCCTTCCCCTCCACACCTTCTATCATCCCTCCGTCCGCTCCCTCCACCTTTCCAGCCCTTCTTCTTCGGGCTCTCCCGTTCCACACACGAACGCGAGTTGGAGAGTTGGCTCTCTCGGTGCTTTCTTGAAATTCGTCTCTCTACCAGCAGTAGCAGCACCAGCAACACAAGCAACACACCGGGTTGTATACACTTACGACAGAGTACGACAGAGAGACCACCTCCTCCCCCTTCTGCCCTCGTCTCAACACGAATCCATATGTATGGGGTTGGCGCACAGCGACGCAAATGTGCTGACTATATTACGCCACCACCTATATAAGATAGCCGGCCAACCATCCTATCCCCACAGACCGAGCCAGATCGGCAGACCGTTCACAGACGGACCAACGAACCGATCTACCGATACAGACACGATACATCCATTTCGTTCACGGGATCGCGAACACCCGATTTTAGGATTACACTCGTTTCCAGTCGGACGCCAGTCCGAAGTAATTCGTTCGATCCCAGCCTGGGGAGAAAGTGATACATTCGTATTTTCGGTTTCGACGGTATCGAGCTTTCATATCGCTCTAGCCGAGCGCACACCCTGGCTCCTTGGTCGGTAAATTTTCGAAAGAAACTAGTCGCGTTCGTCGTCGGCCGATTCCGCGTGACATCGCGGCACGCGGGCCATTAGATTTCCGGGCTTCGTACATACCGCTCCTCCAGGCGACCGAGATTTCCTCGTGACCCGGGTACCGTAGGTCGGGGTACCACCAGCTCTTCTCTAGACGTACAAAGGCCCCGCTGTGACGAACGTTGTGAGTGCATCGAGGAACAACAACATCCAACGATGATCCCTTTGACAGCCACCACGTGTTTCCTCGTCGCTGTCACGTTCTTGGCTCTCGCTCTGATCTTGCTGGATCACCTACGATCCAAGAAAACCTCGAAAAAGATCATTGGGAGCGACATCCTACCGGAACCACCTGGACCAAAACCATGGCCGATTCTGGGCTCCCTTCATATACTGGGACGCTACGATATCCCTTACAAAGCTTTCGCTGACCTTGTCAGAGACTACGACTGTCAGGTGATCAAGCTCAGGATGGGATCTATGCCTTGCGCGGTCGTCAACGGTCTGGAGAACATCAGGGAGGTGCTTACCACCAAGGGGCATCACTTCGATTCCAGGCCCAACTTCACCAGATACCATCTGCTCTTCGGTGGAAACAAGGAAAACTGTAAGGAACTTTCTTTTTATCTCCCTTTTTATTATCGAATCGTTCGTTGAACAAGGGGTGAATTTCGTTCGAGTACACTTTTCCTTAAAATCGTAGATCGGTCGATTTTGCATCGGGCAGCAGATTCGAGGTTTTAACCGTTCCGAACGATCGGAATTAATTCGACATCCCGTCGAGACAGCTCGTTCCCCGTACAAACTATCTCTTCGATCTTCGTTTTTAATTATTCAAAGCCGCGACGTCTACCGGCCTTACGTAACACCGTGCACAACAAATCCCCCACCCGAGCCACGGGAACGGTCGTCGAATTCGTTCGAGCGCGCCTAAAACCTAAAACTATCCGCGCCGCGATCGTGTAAGAAAAGAAAAAAAAATCAATTTCCCCGTTGGTCGGTGTCGGCGTTTTTCGAATACTGACGCGAGAATCGAATTCGTCGACACCTCGTTACGGTTGCTGAAAACTCGTTCCCCATGCTAATGACCTTGCCGTCGCGCGCGACACGTGAGCGGTCCGTCCTACACAGTCGCAGCCCGTTTATTTTTCGCGTGGCTCGTGCTTTCGTTCGTTCAGCCAACGCCGAAACTCGTGCTAAGGTCAACGTCGAAGCGGTACCAAGTGCAGCCGGAAAGGTCACGGTACCACTTTCACGCGTTCCTGGCTCACCTGGCAGCCGGCAAACAGGATCAAGGCTGATCCACCGGAGGCGATTCCGACACTCGAGTTACCACGATTTTCTTTCTCCCTTTCTCTCCGTCCGCCTCGTCCAATCAGCAATTTCGCGCTTAGATCGCGAGAGTTGTCGCTACTTATACTTTTTCTCCTCTCTCTTATTGTAAATCAAAGTTATTGCGTAATTCTAACAGAATCGTACGGATAATGTTTTAAGAACAACTTTAAGATCGGCGATCCGCGTGGAAATCCTGCACGGGACAGAAACCAGGTCACTTCCTGTTCTGGTCCGCTCGCAACCGCTTCGATTTCAAATCGAGCCGGCTGCTCGCGCGCCGATGAATCGATTTTCTGCCGAGTACGCGCGATCGGCATCCGCCGGCTTGCATTTCCGCGTGGCGCGTTCCCCGATGCGACGACGCGACGGCGAGAAAGAGACGGCGATTAGGCGGCGCGAGAACGGAATGGGAGAGAAGAAAGAACACGCGTCGACGAATTTTTCCCTTTTTCGCCTGACAACGATATTTCGAAACGCATTTCCTACGCACGTTATCACGTCAGGAAATGCTGTTCCACGATAAAGTTTAACGCGCCGGCGTATTTATTCCACCTTGACGCCAGGCATCAATGGAAATCGTCGAATCTGACGATCGATTTATCTCTTCCTGTTGTTCGCGTGTCACGAATGGACATCTTTGCATAACCACGTTCGCTGGAATCCGTTGGATACCGAGAACTTTCAAAATAGGAGTTTCCTCATTGATTCAGAATTCTTTTTTCTTCGTCGTATTACATTGAAATTCTTTCTTCACGAATCCCAAATGGATTAAAGAATCCCATTTCCTTTCTGTTATAGCGTTGGCGTTTTGCAACTGGTCCGACGTACAGAAAAATCGAAGAGAGATGCTGCGAGCGTACACGTTCCCTCGCGCCTTCTCCACGCGGTACAACGAGCTGAACGGGATAATCGGTAACCAGATGGAATCCTTGCTGAAACATCTGGACTCCCTCTCGAACACCGACGTGCACACGAAACCGTTGATCCTCCACAGTTGCGCCAACATCTTCATCACCTATCTCTGCTCGAAGAGCTTTCATCTGGAGCACGCGGGCTTCCGCAACATGGTCGAGAACTTTGACAAAGTGTTCTTCGAGGTGAACCAAGGCTACGCCGCCGACTTCTTGCCATTCCTGATGCCACTTCATAATCGGAATATGGCGAGAATGGCGCACTGGAGCCACGAGATCCGCAAATTCGTCATCGAGAACATCATCTCCGAGAGAGTAAACAAGTGGAACGGACTGATGCCGGAGAAGGATTACCTCGATTGCCTGGTAAATCACGTAAAGACTGACGCTGAGCCGCAGATGTCCTGGAACACCGCGCTGTTCGTCATGGAAGACATAATCGGTGGACATTCGGCGATCGGAAATCTCCTAGTGAAGGTTCTTGGATTCCTCGCCACACGACCGCACGTCCAGAAAGCTGCCCAAGAGGAGCTCGACGCTATAGGCATCACCGGAAACTTCGTCGGATTGGAGAACAGGAGATCGCTGCCGTACGTCGAGGCGATCATTCTGGAAACAGTTAGGATAATTGCCAGCCCTATTGTTCCTCACGTGGCTAATCAGGATAGCTCCATTGCCGGTAAGTTTGAAAAACTTTGAAAGACTAGACGAAGCTTAACACGGGAAACACGGTTGCGCTAATCTCGCGGTTTCCTCTTTAGGTTACAGAATCAAGAAAGACACGTTCATCTTCCTGAACAACTACGACCTGAACATGTCCACAGATCTCTGGACGTCGCCGGAAGACTTCGTGCCCGACAGATTCGTGCAGAATGGAAGGCTACTAAAGCCCGAGCACTTCCTGCCGTTCGGCGGCGGACGAAGATCCTGCATGGGTTACAAGCTGGTCCAGTATTTGACCTTCTCGATCCTGGCCACGTTGTTGAAAAATTACACGATAGTCCCTCTGGAGAAAGAGGACTACACGATCCCCATCGGGAACCTGGCGTTGCCCGAGATGACCTTTAAAGTGCAATTCAAGAAACGGTAGGGCCGAACGTGAACGTAAACGTTGGCCTACGGAAATAGGTTACGCCCTTCGGTTCCGGTTGATTTATCGAAGTTTCAAAGGGCAAAGGAAACTCGAAGAGACGATTCTTGGATGAAAAGTTTCGGGTATCTTTGGTCGAAGGAGCTTCGCGGAGATTGGGAGCGATGAAGGATCAGCCGAAGAGAGGCTTTCCGTGTTTTAGACAAAGCTTTAGGGGAAGGTCGATCGCTACGGGCCACGACGAGGATTCGACCTTCGTTGGCAACGAGAGCTTTACTGACATTACTAGGTGTTTAAGGTAGCAAATTGTTGATCGTCCCTCGACGCGTAAACTCTCCTCTAAACGAATCGAAGACGATCAGCCGCGATTACAGGAGAGAAGACTTGGACTGAACAAATGACGACCGACTTCGCGACAGACTGCGACAGAACGTCGTCATCTTAGCGAGCGCTTTAAGTAAACCCGGGCTTCGCCGATCACCCTCTCCTATTTACGTCTTCGAGCACGAGATCGATAGGACATCGTCGCGTTATCGATCCACGATCTCGGACTAGACTAGATTTTCGGTTAAACGGTTTCAGAGTAACCCTGGATTATAGTTCGTTCACCGATTTTGTCAGTTTATTGAATCAATAATAACTGAAAGCAATGTTCGCACAGTTTACTTTGTTTATTAATTCGTTCTGCTATTTACATTTCCTACATTTCTTTTTTAATACGGAAAAAATTTTTTTTTATTTATCGTATATAGCTTTGGTCTACAAGTTTAATTAGTAATTCTGAATCCATTTTTTTAATACAAATATAAATACGCTACTTGGATGTATGTATTATACTGTTATTAAAAGTGCACTTCGTGTTATATACATGATTACCAAACCCGAATGTCAAAAATGACTTAATCGGTAGACATAAACTGTATTGCACAAGGCATACGAGTGCTATTTTCAGTTATTACAGAATCGATTACAAAACTATATCGTACAAACGAACTGTTGGATTGTATTCCTTCGAAGTCGATCTACCAATCTTGAATTCTTTTCGTCGATCACGTTTGTAGCGATCGATTTCAAAGGAATACGACGAATCAAGTGGTGAATCACGGCCTATAACGAGATCCAGGGATCAGAAATCGCCGAGACTTGCTAATCCTCTGTTGATCCAACCATCACGTACCGACTGTCGTCCGATAACGACTCGTTAGAAAGACGAGACGCGAGAACGTGAGAGGCAAGCCCGGACAAACCGCGACGATTTCTCTCGCGTTGATCGTTCAATTGCGAGATATTAGGGGAAATAGACGCCTAACGACCCTCCAAGAGGGTGAAACGCGCATTTTTCAACGTTTTTTTCGACGTCCGAACGTTCACGGTATTCCGAATACTCGACCAACTATCGGTGTCGGTGTTGATCTAATATTGGACCTCTCATCGATTTCACGTTCGATTTTTAAATCGAGTAACATTACCGAGGCCAAAGTTGTCCGATTCCGCGACGAATCGGGCTTGTTTCGGAACCATGACGAGTTGAGCGTGTTTCTAGTTGTTGTTCGGAAGGAACGTTCGATACTTAATAATTTCTAATTTTCACGTAAGTTGTAGGGAAAAGCAAAGACCAAAGTTAATCGAATTTGTTGGAAATTAAGTTATACTAAGGTCAACTTGTCACGGTTTTGATCGGATTTCCTTGCAATGTTGGATCAACGTTTGATCGAGATATCGAGATAAGAAAATTTTAACGAAAATGTCGCACCGAAGGGTACAATACAATAATTTGTTTATCTCGTTTCTCGACGCATATTCTTGACGCGTTACTTTCTTTCTTTTCTTCTGTATTATCCTTCTCATTACGTTTTTCCACTTTTCTCCCTGTTTTTGTTCTCTATTACTATAGTTTTGTTTTCTGTTTTCCTAGTACAAATTAATAATCATCCACTTCGCCATCGTCACGGTAAAAACGATCGAATGTTCACGATGGCGCAAAGTGGTAGCTCTAAGGGATGAGTACTGATAGAGGACGAAATGAGTTTGGAGAAAAACGAGAAATCGATTTCACTGTAATATCAATTATTACACGACTGAACGGCTTTCCTCAAGGAGAAAAGTCGTGTTTTCGCGGGCCACCCTCGCGGATAATAATTTATTTCTGCGATCGAGCATCGATTCTAATTAATATGTTATTATTATATTATATTATATTATATTATATTATATTATTATTATATTATTATTATATTATTATTATCGCTTGCTACTATTATCACCACTATTATCAATAGTTAAATGTATCATCCCTTCTTTTTATCATCATGTTCTCCATCCCCCATTTCATGCTTTCACATCTGTACGTTATTATGTGTTTGTTATTTAATTATCGTGATTGTTACGACATTTGTTAATTTATTATTTAAGATTTTAATAATAAAAGTGAACATTAAAATTCGTTGTTTCGTTCGTCAAACTTCGGCCCAATCGACCTCCTTTGTGCAATTTTCAACACAAAACTCGAAGCTTAATAAAATGAAGGATAATTTATAAAAGATTCGAAAAAGCAAGGGAATTCGATTGAAAATTAATAGAGATGAATATGTCATATTTTCTAATACTTTATTAAACTCTAGTTGAAAAGATAGAGACAAAAATTATTTAACATCATTTCGTCGTAAATCCCCGAGTAAATATACTACTGAAAAATAAAAATCAACGACTGTTTTATGATTGTCTTAAAAAATAAAAGATTTTGTTTCGCAAAACACAATAACAATCAAAATTGGAGCAGTGCATAAAAATGGAACTAAAATACCTAATTTTAGTTGAATGGATACGTTAGATGAAGAAGAGATTTCTTGATCAGTATTGTTTTACATTTGTTAATGTTTACTTCTATTTTCCAGGCTTTGCATAGTCTATTATTTCGTTGAAGGTTCAAAGATTATTTTGGATACTGAGAATTTTTCTGTCTTTAGCATAAATGATTAGATCATCGACGAAGACAATTTACATTGTTGTTTTCGTTTAAACTAAGTAGTTTTAAAGTGTCTGAAGAGAAAATATTGAACAGGCTTAATGAGTTTACTGTTCCTTGTTAGAGATCGTTCTTTATCGAGTGAATTGCGCTGGTTTGTAATCATGTTTGTTATTAAGTATATGAAGTTATTTGGAAACTACTTTTTTGTTCGTTTATAGTAGATGAAGCCTTATTTAGTTCATACTATATCGAAGACTTTTTCTAGGTCTATTAGGCAGACTTCTATCAACTCTTTTCCATTTACAGTCTAACAAATATGTGATAGTACCTTGGTTATTGCATGTAACTTTTGTCAATTATTATTTCGAAGATCTTTCTAGCGTTTGGTAAGAGGCTTATAAGGTCTATATTTGCTAGATTTGTTACGTCTTTGTCTTATTTCATTGGGAGGGTAATACTATTAGTTTTGATATTTTTCTAATTTTCTGGAAAATAGTTGATGTTAAAGGCAGTTGTCGAATATTGTTGTATACTGTCTAATGATGGTGGCGGGGAATTTTTCTTAGTATGCAGTTTGGGATTTCATCAAAATTTCAGAATTCTTTGTTATTTAATACGTGAACAATCTTTGCGACTTCTTTATAATTGATGAGATATTTATATTTATTATTTATTTGTAATTTAACTTAAAATCTAGATGTATACCTAAATAATAGCGTATCATGTGTTGGTGTTTGTGGGGGAACTCTTCCAATTCTTGTTATTGTTATAAAGGTGAATTTCGTCACGTATTTACGTACGTCGTAGTTTGTGACAAAGATAGGAAACATGTACTGCCTAAATAGAATTGCCTTGTATTTATTAATACTGATTTTAAGAATTTCAATCTGTAATTTCTAATAGGCCCTGCATTAATGTCGAGACATTCGATAATCATTCGTTGAAGTGCAAATATAGGAATCAAAAGCAGGTCGAAAACTTGTGAGAGAGATAAATATTGGGTAGCCCTTTAATGACAATAAGTGTCGCCACAATATTTATCTTATATTGGCATAAATACACTTTCCAATTGTGCAAACGATGACATCACAGATTGTACATCGACAATTGTTTATTTCCAATTAAATTTGACAAAGCTGACTTAATAGTTGTAAGATCACATTTTTGATTTGTTAAATCAATCATCGAAAACACTTTTTCTTACATATAAAAATTTTTCTTTAAATTAAATAGTCGAATACATATCTCAGACGTTTGTAATAATTTATTTGTAAATTATCGATGTTACAAAACGCAACATTATACAAGATTAGTGTCTTTTATAATATTAAACACCTTCTTAACGGTATAAAAATGTTTCCTTTTACTTAATATGCCCTGATAGTAGTATAACATTGATTTAATATTAAATAATTCTTAAGTTATAGTAAAAGTATGTGAACACAGACGGCAGATAATCATTGTTAGCATGGTAATTTCACGTATTAATGTTAATTTGTTAAATAAAAAAAGCTGCACATACGTATGGCAATACTATTTTTAAGCGAGACATAGCTAGTACAATTTTGTATCCAAACGTATACTGGACTAGTTTAAATGCAAATTCGTTTCTTCACAAAACTTTTTATAAATCCCAAATATTTCTAGGTAGTATTCGCAATCTTTTATCATCTTTTATTATCTCTTGCCCCAACTGGGACAAAGCAATTAAGAAATTATAAACTGCTCTCACAAATTCCATAATATAAATCGATTTTAAACATTCTCGAGCAGTATCTAATCACATTCTTTCTTTTTTCAGGCTCAAATTCTATCCTCGATCGACTGTCGAAGCTTTTTAAAAAGAGACGCCGGCTTCGAGCAGCAGTCTAAATTTCCAATTCAAACAAGAACTAATTTAACAATTAGTTTCCACATTTTTTCGAACAAAGTGAAATCACAAGAGAGTCTATACTCCTGCAGTAACGTCTTTCAGGTCCACCATCCTCTCTTTCTCCTGCGGATCGACAGCGTCCTTCTTCTTGGAGAACATTTCTTCGATCTCGATCAGGGTTTTGCCTTTGGTTTCAGGCAGGAAGAACGCAACGAACAACGTGCCTAACAGCGACAACGCCGTGAAGAAGATGAACACACCGTGTCTGCCCATCGTGGCCTCCATATCCGGATAAGTTTTAACGGTGATCGAGCTGAAGATGTATCCTACGCAGGTGGTCAGTCCTGTCAACACTTCCTTCACCTTCGGGGGATAAACCTCACCCACCATAGCGAAAGGAACCACCAGGAAGCCAAGGGTGCTGGTAAATATATACATAAGCACACAAATTACCGGTATCATACCACCATCCTTTATGACGTAACCTTTATCGTCCATCACTAGATAAACGGACAGTATCGCCATGAAGATCGTCATCCCTAAACCGGAAACGATCGAAGGTATTCGTCGTCCGAATTTCCTGGACATGCAGGCCACCAGTACGCTGCCCACCAACCTGGTGAATCCTATCAGAACCGCCCCTAGATAAGGGTCTATCGTAATACCAGCGCTTCGAATAATATCCACCGCGTAATAGACCACCACGAAGATCCCGGAGAACTGCTGGAAGAAGAAATAACTGAGCATAATGGTGAACGGCACCAACGCGTTCCTCTTCAGCAGATGTTTCAGCAGGTTCTGCTTCTTCTTCTGCGGTCGTCGTCGCAGTTCTTGCAGCAGCTCCGGCGAGGGGGGTGTATTTTTTGGAATGCCGCGGAATCTCTTCAGGGACTCCAGCGCCTCGTCTAGACGACCTCGGTCCCGCAACCAGATCGGGGTTTCTGGGACGACGGCCAAGGTCACCGTGCCCGAGAGCAGTGGGAATAGGGCACACATCAAAGCCACCAATCGCCAGTTGTCCTTTGAAAGAGAAAAATCGTACGTTATTTAATAACGTGTCGCTTCTGAGTTCGGAGGGTTGATTTCGATGGTCGTTCGCGGACGCAAATTTGTTTTTATTTCTATGAGGAAAAGTGGGATAGAATCGTCTATCAGGAAATATAATAAGTAAAACGAAACAACGTCCTTTCTATTTGTAATAATGATACAGAGTGTCGTTGATGCATCCAAAAAATATAACTGCACTCTTTTTTCAAATGGAACTCTAATTTTTATTACTCAGAAAGTATAAAGGTACTTATGTCTAAACTTATTAGTTCAAATGTTGTGCCGCAACTATATTTATATTGAATTCGTTTCAAAAGGAGCTATAAGATTACAAAAAAATTCCATTTAAAAAACACACTTAACCTTGAAATTTCCCCCACTACTGCAGATATTAAAAAAATAATTCTGCAGCATTATGTTCCCCCTCGTACCTAACAACATTTGCGAAAACATTTTTTTTTATATTTTCAATCCCTCCTGAGATATTCCAAAGAGTCTAGTTAAAAGAGACACCTTTTTAATATAATATACTATAATTTGTGTTCAATTTATATTCATTACTTAGTAGATATAGGCATTTACATTTTAATACGGCAGAATCCGATTGTTCAGTCATCTAATCGCTCTATTATATCCTACAGAATATCCATCTTCTTATTGATGCATTTTTCCATAACGGTAAAAATTAATTATTACAAGAATTTAGGCTGTAACCCGTTTTCTTTATTAATAACTTGGATATCCTTTTATGCACAGCAAAATAACGTCAAATAAGTATGTAACAAGCCTGAATAGAAATTATTATTGCGATTGTGATGCAAACATAAAAGTGAACTGCAAATAAAATTTTTAAGTAAATAATATTAAGTTAATAAAAGCGACAGTATTGTGTGGTCAACCAGTAAGTGTGCGGTTGTGTATTTGCGTAACAGATGGAACTACCGGTGTTGTTCTACTTCGAAATGTTTTTCCTCGACCCTTACCTTGAACAGGTAGCCGAAAACGTAAACAATCAGGACACCGACGGCAATGGCCACGCTGGTCCATGTGACCATTGTGGCGCGCCACTTCGGAGAGGCGACTTCCGCGCTGTAAACAGTCGCCGGGACCGAGGCCGAACCGGTCGCGATTCCGGAAATTATTCTGCCCACAATGATCTGTTCGTATGTCCCAGAGAAGTAAATGACAAGCCAGCCGACAACCGAGACGATTGATGTTGTCAGCAGGCTCAGTCTCCTTCCGCGTCTCATGGTGTAACTGGACAATATGCAGCCAAACGGAATTCCCAGCGCCGTCACGGTGGCTGTGAATTAATTGGATTGTTAATTGAAACGCTCGAACCTCGCAATGGATTCTAGTTAAACGTTTCGAAAGATTTTACACGGGGTATGAGGGAATTATACAGGGTGTTCGACGACCTCATGTTAAAAATTTGAAGGCTGATTCTAGAGTCAAGAATAGTGATTTGTTGATTGAGGCTTTGTTTACAAAATATTAACATTTAAAGATTCGCCTGTAGAACGGTATATGTATTTCAGGAGTACATATATGTATTTCTGCATTTCAGCAGAATTCGACATCTTTCGTTCAGCGAAGATTTTTTGTAAAAAATTACCAAAAAATTGACTCTGACTTGAAAAAATCAAAGTTAATTTTTGTTTACTGCATCGTATTATATTCGTCGCGTGGATAATAAATATTTATTTATCAACTATACTGCTTTATTTATGTGTGTGTTGTGGGTTTGGTTTCCCGTTGTTCCGACGCGATAAATATGTATAATTTGTGCTTGGTTTTTGAGATGTTGCAAGTTTATGAGAATCAATGTCTAAACGGGCGTAAAATCATGCTCGCGCATGCATCAGGTTGTTTGTTACTAGGGGCACGTTGCATGAAAGAAAATTATAAAAAAGAAAACTAAAAATTTACACCTAACTTGTACATACATGATATTAGTCCTTTTAGATTTAATTTAATTTATTCTGTTTTGAAAAGAACCCACACTAGGATAGAAACGTAAATAAAGAATTGTTTGATAGGCTGTCAACTCATTATACACGCAGTATAATTTTTTAAATATTTTCACGTCGCGAGATATTTTTTTATCGATGCTTCTATGCCTTTAATTTTCAATATTACAGTAGAATTAGTTTATTTCATTTGTGAACCTCTAGAAGACAATACAAGCTCTAGAATCGAAGAAGTATGATATTTGTCTAGAAGTAAATGTGTCTATTTTAAAATGTTAAATATTCTCTCCTAAATTATTACAAGAATAGACATGTTATTAGAAAAAATGAATTATTAAGCTCTTGTATCTTACAGCATTTTTATTTTGCTAAATATAGTTGTATGGGGTTAGATGGTAAGAATTATAGAAATAACACTGACCTATCCAATTTGCTTGAACCTTATCAATTTTGACGTCACTCATGGGCGCCATTAATGGCCCCAGTGCCACAGCACTGTAACCGAAAGCCATGGCTGGGCCCAAAACAGAGGAATTTGCACACAAAGACATAATTATCTGAAAGGAAGTAAATACTTATTAATTCCTTTCAAAAGTACGTTTTAGTAATAATAAACTTTATATTATATTAGTAAAACATAAAATTAAATCAAAATCTGTACTTCATTCTTATATTTTTCATATTTTACTAAGTTTTTATAGAATTTTCATCATTATACCCATTTCATGATTGTACAAATTTCAATACTTAATGGTACTATCATTTCGAGGATAAGCAATTGAGCATAAGTTCTCATCGATACAAAAATACAATGATAGTTATTACTTTCTTTACAATAATTTTATAAATTCTCCGCAGAAATAATCAAAGGTATTAATTTCAGAAAGTACTAAGTAGTATTTTAAATATATTTTATTGAAATGGTATTCGAAATTATTGTTTGTGTAAATTTTCCGTGTTAATCCGATATGTGGTTTCCCAGAATTTTTTAATACTAATACTATTGCTCTTAAAGATTATAAACCAAAACGTAGGACGCAATGGAACACGTAATACTAAATACCCAAACGAATTCAGACAAAGGTGTACAAAATGAAAAAAAAACTAAACTATGTATCAAAAATATGTTTTTGAATTTTGTACTTTTTAAATTTTTAATATGTCCATTAATTTAATTTGTTATACTATATTATGTTTCAAGAACAATCAGAAATGTTGTTTGTTGTAAAATTAGTTTCAATGACTATACAAATATTTTAAATTCGCAAACAAGCATCCAAAAATAATCATTGTTTGGCCGTTTATGAGTAACAATGTATTTACAATATCTTTATTTTCGAATTGTTTTCTTTCTTAAATATTATTTATTTTTTGACTCAGGTAAATTTTCTTATCGTGCTGCAGAATATGAATTGCTTTCCAAAAAACTGTCTGAACATTTTACAAATTTTGTATCAGTATTTTGTAATGTTTTAAACTACTCTTCAGAGAGTAATCTTTTAATTTGTCTTATCGCTAGATGTATTTAACGACAAGATCGTTCGCTATCTTTTAATTCGACGATAACCCGCCGGGGGTCGAACAACAAAAATAGCAACGTTACATAATCTTTGATATTGCGAACCGTGTTCGATAGAAAATTGCAATTACAGGATATAATTGATTTTGATTAATTGCAAGCTTCAGTTCGAACGAGTAGAAATTTATTCCTGACGAAGCCTTGGAGGAATCAAAGTGCCGCTATTTTTTCTAAATTCCAAATCACGCATTGAAATTTCCATGTTACATAAAGTCGTCTGTAACGCACAATTGTCGTGATTATAATTTGTAATTAACAACCACCATTGAGAAACTCGGTAGAATCGATTACCTGAACTTCAAAGAATAATTCTTATAAGCGATAGAGATTATTTTAAATGGCAGTCAATTACGATTTTAAAAGTGATAATACAAACATGACGTTGTTTACAGCGTTAGTTTCTTGATTATGAGTGGAAAATTCGTATAGTATCTTAGATCAAATTCGTGACCGATAAATTTGTGAGGCAACCAACTTCGATAAATATTAGAAGCCACAAATCGATAAAAATTTTTCTATCGATTCCAATCGAACATATAGTTAATGCAACGAATTAAGTTTGTGTTTCAATGTCAATTTCCATCTACGAAAAATCGTTATCTAAAATATACTTCATATATTATATTAATATTCCTCAGATAAAAATCTCACGCTACTTTCAGCACAATAAAATTAAGTTGAATGTGCGAATGATAGCACAACAGAACGATAAACGAGTAAATACAAAGGGTTAGCTGATCAAACGACCAAATGCTAAAATAAAATCGAGTCGATCGAAAAGATTTTCCCCCGATCAACCCCGCTATCGTTGAACTTTTCTTATGACCAATATCGAAACCGGTTTGAAAAGGATGACCGAGAAGATGGGCAAGATAGTCGTGGAATAATTAAATTAAGCCTTGAAGTGTCGCCGTAAGGTTTACGTAAAGCAGCGTTAAACGTTCGATAATATCACGGTATTTCAAGTTACGCAAATCTTTCTAATCAGCTCCACTGTCTGGAAGCTGAACTGTCAAGAAATTGCACAAATTCTGCGACAGACGATTTATAATATTATTTATTCGAACAGAATTTATTTTGGTCAGTGTCGCCAATTTATTGTTTAGAAAATTCATTGATCAAAACTAGTTTGTATTTCGAGACGATTTATGTTTAACTTAGATGAAAATTGGAAATCGCTATTATGCACAATTTACTCGCAAGATTTGTGACGCAAGTGATCACGTCGCGAAGAGAAAAAGGAAAAATTCTGCGTGTATAGTGACAGGAATTAAGCATCCCATATAATTTATTACCCAGATAACAGACCAGTCATTTAAATTTTTTTACGTAAGCCAAGACAGCTCGGTCCTCTCTCTGTGTCTATGTTACTCGTATATAACGGCGATCGTAACTCGATCTTAGGTAAGGTCTGATAGACTTCGTCCTCGATTCTCGAAAAATGTACGTGATCGGCTCTGTGTTCATTTCACTAGCGTCTTTCAAACTGTTTCGTCTGCAAGAGAAGATCCTCGAGGTTCTAACAGACGTATGGCAGAACCGTAGCTAAACGTCAAACAATGAACTTTAGCAGATTTCTATCTTTACACTAAAATATACATATTTGTAAATTTATGATTTATTCAAGAAATTGTAGCGTTTCTTTATAAGTATTAACTAAGCACTAAGTATTCGACAGGTCGACGGGCATAAGGTTTACAAATATATTTTAAATATTCGAAATATTTTTCAACATGTTTATTATCGTTAGGCAATATTGCAAATGGGTTTTAAAAGACGGAGTAGCTTCGTTCCTTCTATAAATTCGATGTTCAATGTTGAAACTAAAAAGAACTGTGCTTCAGTTATGTTTCACATTATATGTAGTTCTCGTAACCTAGTATTATGTACTAGAATTTAAAGCAATATTTCAAACATACCATAGAATTTTATGAAAAACTGTAATCTCTTTCTCGTTTTAAACGTTAATTAATTTGTAATATGAAGTAAAAAAGAAAATGTTGGATCGTGTAACGAAGAACTCAATAGCAATTACTTATATTATAATGTTTGTGCAAACTATATTTTCTACGAATTATTATTATTATAATATAAAGGAATTTGTCTACTCTTAATATTTAAAAAATTATCAAAAATAGATTTGAGAGGTTCTAGTATCAGACAGTTGCAACCTAAATAGTTTGCAGTTAGATGAGAAATTAAATAAAGCCTCAATTATCAATATACTTCAGGTATTAATTTGTCAAACGTAGTATATCGTTAAGCAATAATGAATAGAACGAATATTGATCCAACGCAGAAAGTTGTGCCTATCATTAAACTTTCTATTATAATATTTACATGGTACACGAAATTAATAATTTAATCTTCGTTCCCTTGATAATAATAGTGAACCAATTAGAGTCATAATTCACAAAAGATTAGTACGCATCGTAAATCGTTCCACAATCAGTTTGAAATTGTGCACTTTGATGCAGGTTAACATAGATAAGAGAGAAACTATTAATTCCTGTTTATCTCGTCTATAATTTTGTGCCATAATTTCCATTATGGATTAATGTTAACAAGAAAATAGCTAAACAATTGAAACGAAAGGAAACTTTTATTTTCGAATGAAATTTGTAAAATTTTCATTCAATTTGATTCAGAAAAATTTTCAAGCTTCGTAAGCTTTTAAAATATAAATTTAGATGATAGAAAATTCTGAAGAAAAGTATTGGTATATTTTCTTTTAATTATGGTTTCGTTTAGTTGCCGTATTATGCCATAGTAAATGATTCATTTGATATATCATTACTAATACCATAAAACACGAACTCTGGATACAATAATTTCAACGATTCTTACTGTTTCATCATCCAATGCATATCAAGGGATTCGTCGATTGTCACGAGAAAAAAAAAACAGCTGAATAACAATGTCACAGTAACTAACGTTATTATACAGTTCGCTTTCAATAAAAAATATATTCATTAAACGTTGAAACGATTCTCATTGTGAGTAACAGTAATTAAAAATGCATGTCCCTTTTAAATTTTTGTATAAAAATTTCTTTGTATTTTGTCATTGTTCACATAAAAAATTCGTGAGAATAGGGAAAACGTCAAATTTTAACATCTCTAAGAAAATAAAAATTTATTTTTTAATATAATGTCAATTTCGTACATATAGTTTTAATTTTAAATAGTATATAACACATTAAACTTTAAAAAACGAGTACTATTTTTGTCCCCATCTTTTTCGTAAAACTCAAAATTCATTAAAATTGGCATTCCTCCTTCTTCTCGTAGACCTTCATTTGTTTTCATTTACACGTTTCATTAATTTTAGAGTCAACGTTTCTGTCTCAAATAAAAATTACCCTATCTGTGTTCTTAGATATTTGGCCTCGATTGTATTACTAAGTAAATTGTTCAATTATTGTGCAGACGTTTGATTTATTATACGCAGTATCTCGTTGCAAACTTGACGTATTTATCGTAGAGATCGTAGTTTCTGCACAATTCACAGAAGCTGTGCATCGTTCGGTCGAAGAATGACAGCATAAAAATTCAAAATCCGACAATTACCTGATAAGTGACTCCTTTTTTCCCCCGCCTTTTTTCTTCCGCAATGTCAGGCTCCATCTGGAAAAAAAATGTTTATAAAATTTCTGTTCCTTTCACCTGCTATTGCTGGCTATTATTAAAGTCTTATTTTTACGATAATATGTGTGTTGCGCGATAAGCGAGCGCGTTACGATCGACATTCTGACGCTTGTTTGCTTTCTTCGACGTTGGAAAGTGCTAAGCGATAATTGCAAATCGTTGTTTCTTAATTCCTTTGTTAAAATGATAATTGATACAAGTGAAAGCCAACTTTGAAAATTTTTAAAATAACATTTAACATTTTACTACATGATCTAACATTTCGCGTTAAAGTATGAAGGGAATCGATAAGTATCGATACAGGGAAATCCACTCAAGCAGATTAAAAACATTCGATAAGTCAATGAAGAATTTAGATTCGTGACGCGTACAAATTTAGAAGAATATCATACAAACAAGTTACCTTCGCCTCTGAATGTTTGTCCACATGCCCGTTTGAATTACTCGTTCCGTTTACATTACTCATTTTAATCCGTTGATGAAATTTTCTCAAATTTTGCGTCGCAATATAAGATATTCAAGCAATTTTGTATCGTAAAATGTTAGATCGCCTCTTATCGCGATAGTCTCTTTTTTTATCTCGAACCAGCAATGCTTAATCCTTTAATACACTGCTTTACAGGTAGCCTGTGTCTTGTCCTTTTTTTCTTTCCCCCTTTCTGATAAAGACTTCTTCAAATTAATCCGACGCCGAGATATAGTGAGATATAACTGGATACGTTAAATTGGTAGTTTATCTCTTTTAACTTTTTCTTTATGACTAGTGTGATTAGTGTATTTCCTCGATTTTCAATCGAACTCCAATTCCTCCCACAAGAGTATTTCCCACATGCCCAGGACAAACGACATGAACCAAAAGTCTCCCAAGTGTACGAACAAAACTTGTTTCCAAAGCAACCAATCGACCTTTCTGCAATTAAGAAAACTTCTATTCTCAAATTCTCCGACCACGTCCCATACATTCGCTTCCCACGTATCTGAAAAAAGACTTATTACAATCCATTCGTATTTTCTTCCGACCGGTTCGACATTTTATCATTAAGAGATTCACTATACTTTGTATACAGGTTCTACGACTCACATTCCATATAGTCCCCTTATTTCCCCCATTCGCACGATCAGCAAACTATCTCCAAAAAATGAATCGATCCTCTTCGAAGTATCGATTCGAAATTTGCAAACGTTATTTCTCAAATTAAATCAGTCGACAATCTTCAAAATTGCTAAAAATTTCATCGATCCACTGTGTACCAATGAAAATCTATTCGTAATTCCTTTCACTGGCGACTGCAATCCTATCCTGCAATTTCCCGATACTTTCGCAAAAGCCACTCGCGGTGTCGTTGACCGAAATGCCCTATGAGGAACTCCGAAAATAAATATTTCCTTTCACAAAAAATGGTAACTATCTGATTTCGTCTTTCGAAGGGTGCGCGAAAATTCGTGCAGAAAGAAACGAATTTAATTTATTTTCTTTGATCTTGAAAGTGGTAATCGGGATCACTGGTTCCGAACGGTTAACGGTTGATCAGAGTGGAAACAATTATCGAAAGTTTCTGGTCCCTGTTGGACACTAAATGGCACACGGTGGTGAGTGCGGTTGCAGCCAGCAGAACTGCCACTCGAAGACTCGTTACTCACTGAATGCAAGTCCGGTTTTATCTGCCACGAGCGACGCGCGTTTCTTCGATCCCGATCGTCGGAGACCATTCACATCCGCGGCCGCGTCCCGATATATCGCGTCGTCTGTCGGCGAACGATCGACGAGAAATTATGTGTTCCCGACCCGCGAATTCCAGCAAATAAAGAAGACCGATCGCGCGAGCGAATCCGTCCGCTCGGGGATTACGCGAATCGATCAGTGGGGACGTTCGAGGGTAACGCGCGGGAAAAAGGTTGATGAAACTAGGTAGACGAGTTGAGTAGTCTAATTCTTCCTTACGTACGGGAAAACAAAGAGTGTCTAAGTAGGTTAAATACTAGATTCTTTACGCGTATACGGGGTGAGTCAAACGATTAAGACTTGTATCGCGAGTTATAAAAGTGTAATTTCGAAACTGTTCATTTTTTAAAAGTCTTTGGATATTTATTGCAATCTGTTTTGTTGGCATGCCTGATGTTACTACACTGTAGAACGTAACTATAGTTTTCGAAAGTTTCAAAGTTTTAACAGTTACTTTCCACATATTAGTAGCACAGATTTTTCAAACACGAAAAAAGAATTTCTGAATTTCTTTAATCTGATGTCCCTATTATTTTATTTTGATTATTATAATCATAATTTTCGAGAGTTTCAAAGTTTCAACTATTGCCTTTCAAATATTAGCACAGATTTTTCGAATGAGAACAAAAGGATTTCAAATTGAAATGAATTCAATATCATTTAAATGACCACCACGATTGCATTTGACGGAGCAAGTACGATAAACCTAATTTTTGATAACTTTGCCACATAAATCAAGCTGTATGACACCAATAAAACGAACGATGTTTGCTTCGAGATTGCCAACATGTTGTAATTTGTTGGAATAAACAAGAGACTTAACGTGGACCCCATAAGAAAAATCTAATGGCGTCGAGTCGCAAGATCTTGGTGAGCAGTTGACAGTTGCATTTCTTGAAGTAGTCTTATCGTTGAACTTCGATCCCGATAAAGTGGTCAGCCAAAAAGATAGTGGCGTGTGGCACCATTTTGTTGAAACCACATCTCAGACAAATGAAATCCACGCAATTCGCGCCAAAGAAAAGATGTGAAAATAGGTGTCTAACCGTGGTGAATATTGTAATTTTGTAAAAATGAACGAAAAATCTACGAAAAGAGTGAATTTTAATTTATTCTTATGTATAAGAAAGATAGAGATAGGTGCTTAAGTCTGTCGCGTACTCTAAATATTACTTACGTACAGAAAGGGTAAAAATAGATGTATAACTAGATTTAGTATTTCAATGTTTTCTTATATACAAGGGGGACTGAAAATAAGCTTTTATCTGGGTTGAATATTCTGCTTACCTTCGCCTGCAAGAAGGGTGGAAGTAAATGTCTAACTAGGGTGGGTATTCAAATCTTGTCTTGTATACAAGAAGAATGCAAATGAATGTCTAACAAGATTTCACACAATACTCTAATTCTTTTTCTTTGTAGAAACAGGATCACAATAGAACTCTAAATATTTGCATTGACTTTTCTAATCTTTTCTTATGTATAAGAAGGGTGAAGATTGATTTCTAATTATAAGTTTTATCAGTTTTCAATATATAAGAAGAGTAAAATATTAATTATTCTAATGTCTTCTCACCTACCAAGAAGCTAAAAAAGGGAGCTGCGTAAAATATATTAAAATTTCTTTATTTACGAGCAGGGTAAAAATATTATGTAAATATAATTAAATTGAGTATTCTAATCTTTCCTTACGAAAACTGTAGACATGATTCTAACAAAGTTAACAAAAAGTTTAACAAAAGTCTACATCGAATTCTCTAATAATTTCCATTACACAAGGAAGATAACATATGAATATTTCCTTAATTTCGATTTTAAGCCAAGTTGCAATTTACCATTAACTTCAAGTCCCTTTAAATAAACTCAAAGCACTTAGATCGAACCGTAGAATGAAAGGAATGCACGAATTCTGGATTTATTTGGCGATATTTCTACTAGAAACTTCGTAGACGCTTTTACACCCCCGCGTGAGTCTACGGTAACAGCCGGAAGCGACGATGTTTCATCGGTGAGTGTTATATTAAATCGAACAGACCTTGCTGTTGGAGTCATAGGTCGGTTTCTACGTTGTCGGCGTCTTTTCGGAGATCAGAGGCCAACCTGCGACACGTGCACCTTATATTAAAGCGGATTAAGATGTTCGACAGATTAATCATACTTTAAATCGTCTGGTGAAACTTCCTAGATGATTCATTCATTCGAACGTGTTGTTATTTTAAAAGCTGATGATTCTTAAGCATTTGAGAATTATAAATAAGCAGCGTCAAAAGATTATTGATAGTCCTCGATAGTATTAATATACTCGAGTTGTGTCAAAAGTTTCCAAACTTTGATTAAAACATCACTTTTTCGTAAAATAATAATCTTATTAGGTGTTTCTTTCACCCTGTCTATGGATATTTTCCATTAATTTTTCAATTACATTAACATAAGTTTGAGACCAATTAAAATTAGATAAAGTAAACAAATAAATTAAGCTAAATATGGGATAAATTGCAGTTGCTTGCTTCGAGTCACTTGTCCAGTCGTTTGCCTTTGTTTTACTTCCATTACTCCGAAAGTTCAAGCTACGTCCATCAAGATCATTTAACCCTTAATCAATTCGACTGGGACATTCTATGTATCTAGCCCGCCCACTGTATTCTCCCGATATTGGCCCAACTAATTTCAACCTGTTTCTTTCACTAAAAAATTCAGATTCTTGGAAGAACTAAAAAATCACCATATATATTCTTAAAAAATAAGGAACTTTCTTTTTGAAACAAAGGTATTATACAGCTAGTTGAAAGATGGGCCAAGATAATAGAATAAAACGGTTGGTATTTAATTTAATAAAGTAATGCGTTAAATAAAATACTGTGGTTCAATATAAAAAATTTAAAACAACATAATATTTAATATTTCTATACAAGAGAAGCAAGCTCTCAGACTTCCAAAAATCTATCTATTACCCCTCGACGTACGATTTAATTCCAAATAATTTGTCAAACGTATACTATTTAATTTTGTTTAAAAAAGGGTATGCCGAATAAGGGGTTCAAATGTGCCCTCGAACCAAATTTGACATACGATGGATCCATCGATAGAGAATCAAAATCAAACATTCTGTGCCAAGTTTCAACCTTCTATCTTGTCCGGAAGGGTAGTTATAGGGAAACTCCGGATTATCGAATTTGTATCTATTTTCCGTGTTTAATCGAGTACGAAAATTACGTAAAAAATCTGGTACATTATGGTTATCGATATACGTGTTCAAGAATTTTTTTCGGTTTTTCGATTCCAAATTCTAGGTGTGAAAAATTAAAAACGCAGAAAAATATCGATTCCGTATCGAAGCTTTCGAAACACTAGATTTATATAATTACTGTAAATGCGTATTATCATTGGTTATGCCCCTGAATTTCGTACAAAGAATGGTCATGAAAAAGAATAGATTTGTTTTACGAATACCTCGTGAATGTAAAAATGTGTTTATTTTAATTTATAAGACTCGATGACAAGTGAGCCTCATAATTGTGAAACTTATGACGAGTCTGACTCGTCATTGTACGACAGGGGATTAAAGGAAATAGTGATCGATGACTAGCAGATGGAGAGGTGCAACAGCTTTCATTTCTGTTTTTTTCTTGTCGATAGCGGAGCACGCCGACGATGCAGAGGAAGATCGACACGAAGAACACTGACCTCCCTCTACTACTTCGGTGTGTCCTTGGCCTTGAAACGAGAACGTGTTTCGGGAGATGAAATCCAACCGCACAGGTGGAACGATAATTGCTTGGCCGTCATAGAGAGAACGAAAGCCTTGCCTTTACTTTCGCTCAATTACGGAATCGGAGCGGAGAAGTGTCTACACAGAGAGAAACGAGATGCAGTAAAGCTTCCTTGCCCCTTACGTGCGTATGCGTGCCCGCGCATGCGATCATACTAGTCACGAACCGTATAGTTTTTAAAATTGGACGAAAAAGGGGAAACTTTTTGGAAAATGTTCCAAGATCAAAATAAATAAATGATCAAATTATTTCTATTCCTTTCTGGCGTTTCCGTGCAAATTCAGCAAATCAATTTTTATTTCTTAACTCTTTGCGGCACAGGATTTCAGATAATAAAATAGACCCATGTAACTTAGAAATTTTATTACGTTTTAAATTAAACAAAACTGGTATATTTTTATTAAGAAAAGTATCACATAATAACATAAAAAAAAAATAGTAATAGTTGTCGCAATAAACCTTACGCTTGCAACAATTGATGAACCTGTATTAACATTTTGAATATTGCCAACACAAGTGAATACATTTGTAACATTTGTTGAAGGTATTACCATCTGCTTTACGTGAATAAGACGAAATATAAACCTCTGCGCATGTAGCTATTGCAATATTTGGAGGTGGGACTAAAAATGTCCCACCATGCATTACGGTGCATCAAAAAAGTGGGACACTTTTAATCTCAGCGTGCCCCAAAGAGTTAATCGAGCCAGAGTTTTTAACTTTCTTTAGGATAACAATTAGTTAGATGCGGTGAGTAATTGTCATCCACCCCCGTACGGGGTGTTTCAAAACAATGAGACAAGAGTAATATACATATTCCTCGAGTGAAAAGAAATTGAAAATTTATTTACTATTTTGCAAGAAAAATCAAACGGTACATACGAATTATTAGTGCATATGTTTGCAACGTCTTCAAAATAAGTAATCCTTGCTATTGCAATCCACTCACGATTTTAGTTTTACTAAAAAAATGTCGAAAGTAACAAGTAGCCGATGGCCAGAGAATGTAGTATTGATTTTATCTCGTTAGAAATTTCATAATAGGTAAAGATCATGTAACAATCATGACTTTGTGTCAAATAAAGAAAATGTCAAATTTTCAATTGAATATTCCCAAGTATTAGTCATATTTAATCAAAAATCACTGTTACTTTAATATCGTATGATGTAACATATTCGCCAATTAAGAACCATAAATTCGTTACAAATAAATACAAATTCATGTCCAAAATTTAAAAAAATAAGTGAAAATTTATTACACGTCGGTTTAGAAGGAACCTGAAATAATTAATTGGTATTTTATAATAAGTATAGGAAAATATAATTGTTGCATGAAATCCTCGCCCAATTTATTTTTTCTGTTTTTTTTTTGAGGAAGAATAATATTATATAAATATTTTGAATAATAATGCAAGAATAGTAACAGTACACCTGTGCCCTTGGCATTTTTGCACGTACTGTGCTTTAATCTAAATAGAGGTGTTCGTAATCAAACCGTATTTTAAAACATTAAATGCAGATGTGACGATTCTAATCTGCGTCACGTGTTTTGCATTCGGTGCTAAACAACTGCAAAAATTCGATCGGTAGTTTGCTCTTCCTATTTCGCAATTAACACCATTCCGAGGTTGTCGATAACGTTACGTAAGTTACATTGTAATGTGATTATTATGAATTATCGATTAAAGTTGTCACAGTTTAATAACGTTCATCCTATAAATTTGAGAAAAATAACTAAACGAAGAAAAACTTCATTAAACATCAGAACATCAGATCTTAATTTTAGAATTAGTAAACAGTTAGTAAGAATTTTTACAAACGTAAAAACATAATTCTTCTTTGTATAATTATTTGTCATATATAATAACAGTTTTACTTTTTGCTTCCTAAATTCATGATTTATCGAAAATACAGAATAAAAGCAGAATTTTTTATCGAAAGAAAACTCCAACATTTTCTTATCTTAAAATCCTTCTTTTTTAAATAATGAAATCAATTCAAACGCAATGATCGATTCAAATGATTATAAGAAACACTTACAGAGTGAGTCCCATAACTGTGTCGGTTTATATTTTTTTGATTAAAGGTAAAAAATGTTGTAGAAAAAAAAGTTGCCAGGTATAAGATCTACTTCCCTGCCACACTATTTTCTAAATACAATAATGCACCCAAAAAGTGTAGTTATACTCTTTTTACCTGAAATTTTTTTAAATTGTATATTTTGGTAATTATTTAGTTTAGAGAGTGCTTCCATGACCTAAATCTCTAAAGCCTCCAATAATTGTAGACGATTGAAAATTCCCTTTGAACTTCGTATCTTTCATAACGAATTTTATTTCAAATGTAGCGTCAGTTGGTACAAGTGTTACCATATTTAAGCATTCAAAGTATTGTTTGACGTCGTGAAATTGTTATTGATCACGCTGAATTAGTATAAAATTAAATACATTTAATCTTATAGCACATCGATAAAGTTTCTTCAAGTTTAAAAAAATGGCAGACGATGATTTTGATGGAGATGAGTGAGTAACTTGTTTAATTGATCATAAATTTTAGAAATTATATATATATACCTACTGTTCAGAATATTTATTTGTTTTATAATAAAGATTCATTCAATTTATATTGTAAGTGTATATTACTGGATAGAGACTCGTTATATTTTTGTATAAATTGTATTGGTTGATTCTAATCTTATACTTTTATGTGCAAACTGATCATAACCTAAGAATATTATAGAGTTAAATAATTTAAAAACACTAAAATTGTATAATTTAAAGGGTAGCGGATGATTTTGACGATGTTGATGATGATGACAATATAGAATTGGAACCCCAAGAAGAGGATGGAGAAAATATTGAATTACTAGCAGCTGGCGAAGCTACTGGTGGTGTGCAAAGATCAAAACGGATTACAACAAGATACATGACAAAGTATGTAACTTTGAAATTTTAACAAAAATAAATCCTTTCGGAATAACAAAATTGAATAGCCTGATCAAAGAACATAATTATTGTTTACTTTATCGATGACCTTACTAATTTTCATGGCTTTATAAGAGCCAGATTAATTAGTTGAAGTTTTACATTAATTAGCTTATGTATGTATTATGTTTGAATTATATATTTGCAGATATGAGCGAGCAAGGGTTTTAGGGACAAGGGCATTGCAAATAGCTATGTGTGCTCCGGTAATGGTAGAATTAGAAGGAGAAACAGATCCCCTGCAAATTGCAATGAAAGAATTAAAGCAAAGGAAAATTCCAATTGTGATCAGGCGCTATTTGCCAGACAACAGTTACGAAGATTGGGGCATAGATGAATTAATTATAATAGATCATTAAGTGTCATTTATATTTCCATCAGCTTTTAAGATAATTTTAGATATATTGAAATTTATTGTATCAATAATGTTTCAATTCCTGTATGTTTAATACCTGTACAAAAAGAATAAATAATAAATATTGATTTTATGTCGCTCTCCTTAACGAAGATGTACAAAATTTGATTGACTATAGCGATGTTTCGGAAATGTAATCTGGTTCATAAGATTCAACTAGTGATAAAATCACTATAGGTTAGAAAACCTTGCGTCAGATTTAAATGTTTCAAACGCGCTGATATAACGAAATTTGTGAAACATATTTACATTCATCCAAAAAAATGATAAGATTAGTGCACTAAGAGATGGAAGTATGTGAATCACTTTATTAAACAGTGATAACATTGATAACAATTTCGAAACACAAGTCATTTAATAATCGTGACAAATTATTTATATAAATACATTGACTACAAAAATAGACATAAAAGAGTATGAAAATACTAAAAATTAAGGTATAATATGACGTGGTGAGTAAACTAGTTGTCTACAATTACTAATTAATTTAGAGAGGTTAAGACCATCATCTTTATAAACATTATTGCGATGTATACAGGAATCCTTTAAAGAAGAATCACTTAACACAAAGACCCACATCAGCACCACCTCTGTTATCTTCTGCAGAGGATAGAGAGCTTGAGGTTGCAGTTCAAAGACTTATTTCGTACGTATTATTTATTATTGTTGTATTTTCAAATTTAACATATAAGTAATTTTTCAAAGCATTAACGAACTTTGTATATTAAAAAGTTGACTGTCTTATACTTAAGACATTATTTTTTTAAGTGTCGAAGATACAATTAGAAAACTGACGAAAGAAATGAAAAAGTACATAGAAGCTGTAGTAAACTTGGATCGTGCAGACCAAAGACTAACGTTTAATCTGACAACTTGTGGTCTGGTGCATCTGAATGATGAATTTAGAAAAATAGTGGAAGATTATCACTCCGTTACTACCCAGGTACATTTATAAATTACTAGTCTTTAATATTTGACGACATAAAAATCCTTGTGCCATTTGATAGGTTGGAAAAACGGTACAAGAAATGGCAGCTCTTTGCCAAAAAACCTTTATAGAACCTTTAAAAAAATTACGAGACGAGTTTGCTCTAATAGCTGCGGCAATAGCCAAACGGGAAGAATTAGTAACTACTTGGAAATACAGTTATAATCGTCTTAAAAAGTTGCAAGAAAAAAAAGATAAAATGGCTAGTCATACAGCAAAAGTGGAAAGAGAACGCAGAGCAGAAGAAGCGGCTGCAAAGGATCTGAAGACTGTACATAGCCAATTACTTGTCGAATTACCTTCATTCTTAGACAAGAGATTAGAATACATTAAGCCTAGCATACATGCTTTAATCATGGTACAGTTAGATTATTATGGAAGCACGACAAAATTATTCACACACTTAATGCCAGTTCCAAACGTTTCGGGATCGCCGTCTAGTGCAATGATACCCGAGGAAGAATATCAACAATTAGTGGCTAATCAAATGAACAAAATAAGAGCTCTTACAATTGTTAAAGATCACTGAAAATCGGTAGTAGTTTTATAACAAAGGTTTCGAAGAATTAATGAAAATTCATATATCGAAGGTACTAAATGCCGTGGAGTTATCGTAGGTACGAATGTATTTATCACATGGCAATATTTACATTAATATTGTAAAAGTATAAGTAAATTTAAGATGGAACCATTCCTTGGTTTCGTTTGTATTGCGCACCAGAACGTCGATTGTGGTTAGCACGTGTTGATTTATGGGTATTTTTCTGTTGTCTATTATATAAGATATCCTTCTCTTGCCCTTGACCTCTGGGTTTACCTACGCACGGAAAAAGATGCGACAAGATGTGTTTGATGTTTTACTTGCATAGAGTTAGGCAAATTTTACGGCACAACTTTAGTTACTCAGGCAATGAGGAAGGGGGTCTTGATTAAAAGATTACGTCTCAAGAATTACAATAATATCGGTCGGACGTGCCAAAAACTCATACTTTCCGAGATATTAACAAAAATATATCGGTACTCTAATCCATTTACCAAACTTAGCTTAATCCACTGATATAATAGACTGCTCGCGTAAATAGATTAGAGTTCGACCACTTTTTATTTCGTAACACCATGTAAACAAGTGGCGTTCAAGGAACGAGGCGGATATTATTTGACTTTGCACTCTGTTTGCCTACGAGAAGAGGCGCCAATTTCAGATTCATTTGCAAGTTAGAATCCATTAACGGAATTCTTAAAACGATATTCAAACAAACAAAGCCGCGGACAAAAGCTAGGTTACGAATAAATTTGAAATTTTTATTTGTTATTCGTGAAAATTTGCCCAACTCTGATCCCGTGAACTACAGAAAAGATATGCAATTGTCAATGCGTTGTAATAAATACAACTTATATAACTTACCGACCACGTTTGAAGTCCTTCCGCCTCGATGAGCTTGTTGCCTTCGTTGTTCAGCTGGGTTCTGTATAAAATGATCTTTACCGTTCTGTTCTGCTCCTACATCTTCGTCCTCAGATTCCGATTCGTCAACAGTTTCGGTCTTTTGCATAGCAAGGAGCACCTACAATAAAATAAATCGTTTACGCAATTTTCGTGTAACTAAATGAGTTTATTTTTCAAATTAAACGAAAATACAAACTCTTGGTGTCGTAAAGGGTCTCGAATCTATATCGACGGAATCGTCGCGTGCAACGCCACGTACATCTCTACTATCATATGCGTCATCGTATTCATCCTCGTAATCATCTATTACAAGGCTATAACTGTAACAAGCGTTAATTCCATAAAATAATGCTATTTTATGAATATTATTAAGTACAGTTGTTTTCAAATAAATATTATTTTGATATGTTATGTGTACAAGTAAAAATTAATTACTCTACTCTTTAAAAACTTACTTTTTCACTATATAGTCTTTGGGTACTTCGACGATTTCATGGGGTTTAATATTGTTAATATCGTCATCGTCGTCACTGAGCATGTTCAATTCTCCAATGTTCAAAGCTAGATCTTCGTTGATTGACGCCTCCTATAAGAATGATACATAATATTTACATTCTCTAATAAGAAACTGTTATTTACAATAATGACAAAAACGAAGTTCATGTACCGTGTAATCTGGTGGTGTATCGTTTATTGCCGGTTTTAAGTCTTTCAATTCTTTCAAATGGGGTGGTAATGTATCTTCTAATACAGCGTTTATCACAGACGCAGTATCATATTTGTAATGATCCAAACATAACTATACAATGAACAATTTTATTAAATATATTTTGGTAATGCAAATTCGTTCTCATGTTATAACTGTTACCTGTATGAAATGTTCGTTTAGATGAAATAAAATATCTTTAACTTCAGAAATAAGAGAGTCCAATATAACAGGGTCCTTCATTATTTCTTTTTCATTTGAGAGACTTATATTATCTTTAGGTGCTACTAATTGATTTTGAATACCACTAGGACCAGCAACACTTTCCTACGGGAAAATGATATTGGATACAAACGAAAAAACAATATTGTTTATAGACTTTTTACTTACAGCTAAATTATTCGCATAAGCAGTAAATGGAGCATTGGGGTTTTCAACAATTGCACATATTGAGTTAAATATGTAACTACATTTTATTGCATCACTGAATATTTGTTAAGTATCGTAGAACTGACTGTGTACTAATTTTTTAATTGTAACAATTTCAATTATGTTAAGTTAGAAAGGATACACTTCAGGACAAATACTCGACAATATTCCGAGATCCGTTGCAACTGGATAAAACTGATCGTAATCTGTAATAAATTCTTTCTCAGAAATGACACTGGTTAAAAATGTAAGATATTCTTCCACACGTTCCTTTATCCCTGCTTCTGTCATTGTATTTCTAAATATAATTTCATAATAGCGTTTGTTATGATTATAATAAATGATAGACTTTTGTTATTTGAGTATACATGAACTTACAAATTTTCCTGAACATTTTGTATGGGTCCGTACAGTATAGTGCGAAAAAGGTGTAAAATTTCAACCCTTATCACATCCAATCTATGCTTCAGTTCCATATATTTCGGTATGTTTGCGTCGTTATTCCCTAACTTATCTAATTTTTTATACATTTCAGGTATTGTGCTCTCATATATCGAAACAATTCTAATTAATTAATTAGAGAATAAGAAAATAAATTATCAAAAATAGTCTGCATAAATGAAGTTATAAGTAGATATACTTACTTATTCATAAAATCCTCTCTATGAAATGTACTCACTGCAGGAGGGTAATTTGTTAAAAACACAGCAATCGTTGATGATATATCTAATACATATAATATCATATCTTCTAAATTAAATAATGTAAGTTCTGTGGAACTAGTACCCTGTTTTGGTAGTGAGACTGCTTTGTTGGTATTGCAAACATAACAACCAGTGAATTTTATTTCAACATTTTCAAGAGCCTATACTAACAATACTTATTTTCAGTTATATTTTTTGAGATAAAAATATTTTTTTATGTATGAATGCATCACCTCTATAAGACAAGGAACAGCTTTTTGAAGATCGTTATTATACCGTGGCTCTAATGTAAATAAACAATTTAAAATTTTCTCCATTACTTTTCCATTTTCTCTGCCATAAAGTTGACAGAGGTCAAAGATAATTGGTATCGTAAATATGTAGTTTTCATACAATAAGTTTCCAAGAAATTCACGGCTGATGTATTCTCCAGTGCTTTCCTTATTTGTAACAAAACGTGAGAAAACCACAAGTACATAGCGACGAAGAGTTTCTAGAAGTTTCAACATTTCTGGATAGTTTGGAAAACTTTCTAAAGCATAAAATGGTGGTGCTTCTTGTAAAAAAGATACCAATGAATTTATTATCGAGGTATTGTATACAATGTTCGACCAGAACCTAAATAAACAATGCATAGTAATACATACATATAATATACAAAAAACATACAATGAAGACATATACAAACATACAATATTTTTACTATTGCAAATTAACATTGTTTTAGGCTGTTATGAGCTAAATTATGGGCTTACCTGTAATGTGGAAGACTAAGTAACCATTTTAAATCATCGATCATATATTTGACAATTTCTATCCAATGCTTTTTAGCCCCCATAATTTCAGATCCATCTTCATTATATAGTTTAGGAGCTTCATAATTCAAAAAATAATGTTCATCTGCCCACCTTTTATCCTAAATGAAAATTGGCAATGACACTTTGTATTACATTCATAGTTTAGAAATCAGCAATTTTACAAGAATGAAGCCATGGATAAATTCATTATAAAGTATTATTAAATAATGGAAAACACTTGAAAGTTATTATTAATGAGTAAGAATAATAAGTTGTGCAATGTTAACTAACATTTTCATAAATAAACATACCAAAGCATTGATATTCTCAACAACACCATTAGTTCTGATTTTTAGCTTCAGTTTTTCAAGGGGCACATGGTCAGGATTCTATTAAAACGTGGACATGTGTAATTTTCTAATAATTCTGATTATTATAACCTCTTGTAATCGGCAACAGTTACATGAATGACAATTGTAAATAGTCAAAGATATGTTACCTCAAATTGCTCCATGTTCTTGCGCGATACATTTTCCGTCATAAATAACGTAAATTGATGCTGAATAGCCCTAATAGTAAACAAATTGTCTGTTAAACAATTCTAGAACGTCAGAAGGCATTAATTTCTGCCGTTTAAGGGGAATACCAGTGAATACCGCACACAAAACGAATCCCCTTCTCCTTACAAGCTTCTATAGTAGAAGTAGAAGTCTGTCGTTTGTCTGAAACATGTGAACATCTAACCTGAACTCATTTAACCTATATGCAACAAGTCACGCGATTCGTTATAAATAAAGATGTGTTAATAACTTTGGGATATTTAAAGCATAGAATCTGTTATTAAATCTAAGAATTAAAGTATTATTTGTGAAATATGAACTAGTATGTATTTAAAAATGAACATCGATATATGTAATTTATACATGACAGGTTACACGAATCGTTAAGAAATACTAATGTCCTGTCGTTCTAGTAAATGGTTTCACGAAATTTAAAGTTTATAATACATAATCGATCCAATGAATGTATTATTATTTATAAAAAAATTATTATTTTCAAAATGAATTCTGACACATATAACATATTAGTACAGACGAGGTTTATGTATTATTGAAATATTCTATTATAAGAATGAAAATTCTTAGATCGATTTCTGATTTAAATCGACCTTAACAATGATATTATTACCTATAAATAATTAATATAAATTTTAGTTACTCAAATATTATTTTTCGAAGAATTAATCAAAACATATAGTTAATTATTTTAAGATAAGGAGTGCTTGTAACCCTAAGGGGAAGCAATAAAATGATACTACTAAGTACTAGTTAATTATTTTTGTCACTAGAATGTAAGAGAAATATTCTTGTCAATGTATCTGTGGTCTAATTTTTTTTATAAAATGTGATAAAATGTATGAGGAAACTCTCTTTTGAAATAAGTGAATTGTGTGTCGCGAGAGTGCAACACGTGTAAAGTAGTGCGTGCTCAAAAAAGTTGAAAGTCAATAAACAATGTTGAGGAAAAGTAACTTGTTAATAAGACGCTTATGTTTTATTGCTAGGACGTTTCATGATGAGGCGACTATTATCGGCTGCACACAAGACGTCAATTCATCTGTTTATCAGGTTAGAATTACGAAACATGCATCTCTCATTGATAAACGACCAAGTCCTTGATTTTTGACTTTTTCGTACTCCGGTTGTCAACAATTTTCGCTTTAATGGCCTTCAAAAGGGAACGATAACTGTTGCCATATTAGTTGTACAGATTTTTCTATTATTTCTTGAGCAAAATAAGTCAAATATATTTGAATGCAGCGGAACGTAATCACTCGCCCGATAGACACATATACAAGGTGTTCGACTACCTCTAGGAAAAATTTTAATGGGCGATTCTAGAGGCCAAAATAAGACGAAAATCAAGAATATCAATTTCTTGGCTGAGGTTTCATTAAAAAATTATTACAAAATTAAATTAAACAATTTCAAATCATTCTGAAAAAATTATTTTTAGTTGCGGGGCTCAATTACAATCATTTTTGATGAATACATATATCCCTGAAATCCTATCCACTTTCGAGAAAAAAATTCGAGTAGGTACTGAAATTATTAGTCGAAATTAAAAAATTTCAAATCATACAAAAAAAATTATATTTAGTTACAGGGGTCAATTACAAGCATTTTTGGAGAATAGACATACCCCGAAATTCTACGCATTTTCGAGAAAAAAGTTCGTTATCGAAAATCTAATGTGAGGCCAGAAATAGTACTCCGAAATTTCATACGAATCTTTAAAATGTCATAACTCCTGAACGGATTGAGGGATTCTAATTTTTCAAAATGTAAACAACGCGTATTTTGGTACAGAATATGTAGAAATTCTAACAATATTGAAAAAGTTGTTCCTTAACCCCATAAAGTGAGAAAAACCCCATAAAAATGGTGCAATTTTTGAACAACCATAACTCCTACAGTAGTGAATATATTTCAATGAAATTTTTAACTGAAGTAGAGCCCATGGGTACCTACAAAAAAGTATTAGACAACTTTTCTGTAGAGCATCAAACAAATTTATTAAAAATAAAAAACGAATGTTTAAGAAAAATCAACAAGGATAGGATTAGGTGCCTAAATTTTTCGGCGAAAAAAAAAATTTCAAATCGTTCAGGAAAAATTATTTTCGGTTATGGGGGTCAATTACAATAATTTTTGGTGAATAGACTTACCACCGAAATTCTATCCACTTTCTAAAAAAAAATTCAGTACGGGCGGAAATTTAAACATTAATAACTTTTTAACGAAGCCTCCATCAACAAATTAGTATTTTTTATTTCCATCTTATTTTGGCCTCTAGAATTTCCCATTAAAATTTTTCCCGGTGGTGGCTGAACACCCTGTATGCAAAATATCATATTAATGTATAAAAACGTATAATATGTATGTTTTCATATAAATCAACATACAAATTTTCATTACTGATGATTTTATACTTTTTCTTATTTTTAAAGCGAGTGTTTTACATCTAAGCAATACTTCTTTTTCGTGGCAACAAACTTATCATTTATTTTAATAATCGACTGAAACAATTTCACACTTGAAATGTGCAAAATATGCAATTAAGCAGCCTTTTTTATTGCTTAGACTACATTACTATACAATTTAAATTTGGCGCATTTGTAATTCTTTGAATTTCCACTGAGAGCAGTTAGTGGAACATTAACGATCACAGTGAACGTGAACTATTAAAACGCCATCTTTCGGATCACGGTCGTGAATGGAGTTTAATCACGAGCTTGATCGTGATTTTGTAATCACTGTGATAAATCACTATTAGTGGTTTTTAGAGATGGCGTGCAAAATTAAATAATTTAGAGAAAACAGTTTGACTCTCTTTCATAAAAATGACAAACAATTTTCTCAATAAACACAAGTGGAAAAATTATGTTACTATTATTAAAGGGATATTAAAAGCATGCCAAAATCTTGACTGTAATATGTCGTTAAAAATGCACTTTCTACATTTTTATTTGGATATTTTTTTTCAAACTTTGGAGACACAAGCGATGAACATGATGAACGTTTCCGCCAAGATATATTTTTATATAAGATGTACTTTTCAATATTGTATAGGACTTTTATTTCACAAACTGATTTACCAATCAAGCAAAAACCTTCTTACCACCGTACGTATCATCGTTATCGGTTGAGTCTAGAACATGACTTTCGCATTTCTAGCGTCTAGAATTAAGACTACGTATAGACAGAAATAATTATTTTCGAAGTTATCAAAATCAAATCATAGAATCTAACTGGTAACTATTTTAATTGATTAGATTTGAGTTGAGTTTGGGTTAGAATTTTTGTAAATATCTCAGAAAGGCCGACCGCCTATTATTGGAAAAGGAAAAAATTGTTCAAAATATCGTCCTTTATAATATATTTAAAAATAATCAAAATTAAATTTTAAGATAGAATTTAGAATGTAATACCACAGACGAGATATATGAATAGACGTTTCACCTTATGGACTTTCGCGGCCGAATCTGACTGTCATACCGACCTGAAAATTCGTAGCTGATTTTAGCGGCCTCTTCTCATGGATGGCGGTTAGTTGAGAAACTAGGCACTGAATTAGTATTGATGGGCAGCCAGCTGAGTGTGTACGTAAATACATGTGAGTTGATTATGGGAGGGATTGGAAAAGACAGTGGAGTATTATCAGACGGCAGACCCGTGCCGAAAGGGAACTGCCCCACCACTCACACACCCTAATGCCAACCACCTTGTATATGAGTTCTGGCGTTTCGTATAGCTTCGTAGATTCGAGAAAGGCGGCGAATGTCAGTCTATCCTTCTTGCTCTCAACACAGCTGAAATTCGATCTCGCATATTCTCGAGCCGAGATTCTCGACTGCCTAGGCATTTTTGACTTTCCGACCTGTGTAGTCATATACAATGTATAAGCAATATACCATAATGAAGAAAAAATTACAAAAATTTGTTTTTACGGAAATACACGTTTTAAAAAGATAATATTTTATGAACATATTTTAACCCTTTGCACTCGGTTGTCCCCTCTGAGGGGACATGAAAGTTTATTAGTGATTAAGGAGAATGAACTGATTTCACCGCAATTTTTTAAGAAACACATGTTTTCCTGTACTTTCCTATTAAAATGGGAAATATTCTATTAAAATGAGAAATATATCAGCCGTTTTTACGTTGGGAGTGGAAGGATTGTCGATGATGGTCAGAGGCGTATGGTCGGATTCAAACACGTGGACAATAAACGTAACTATATAAACTATATTATTTAATGTTTACTAAAATTATTTAACATAAAGAACATAAAACGTAAACGTAAAAAACTATAAACGTAAAATCGAAACTTCATTCAAAGTCGAACCATTCCTATTGCTATCTTCGTTATAATCTAAATAAATTAACGTTCTTTGTCGGACAATAGAATGAATAATAAGCTACATATTCCAAATGTAGGCCAAAGAAACCGGGACTGCATTATTTGTTCCGACAGGAAAACACCAGGAGAAAGACGTCAAACAACATTTTATTGTGAAACATGTATAAATCAACCTGCTATGTATATTGGGAATTGTTTCAGAATTTACCATACCATAGAAAATTATGAGAAATAAATTTTTATTTTGTATTGTAAATATGTGTTCTTCAATGTCCATAAATACATATAAACCAAATTTCAACACAATGCCTTACTTGGTTCCAAAGTTGTACCATATAATATCACGACTCAAGGGTTTTCGTTTTCGCGAGAAAGTAGCGTCGAGTTGCTGATAGCTAACGTCCGAAAAGGTGCCGAGTGCAAAGGGTTAACTATTAAAAAAGACATTTTTTTACTACGCTTATGGACGTGCGTTCATATATTTATACTATTAATACGATTGAGTCTAAACAACCAAATGAATTTCAATGTAATTTTACATTAAGTTTTGTGTTCTCATTTCAAGGTTTGATACACGTTATTTGTAAGAAATTTAAAAAATGTAAAGTAATAAAATTATAATTATAATCGACACATTATACATTATTTGTCGTCGGTTGTCATGCCGGCTAATACAAACAAGAGAAAAAAGCAACGATCGTGGACTGATGCAATATAGAGCCACAGATATGTACATATAGACAGAATTCATTGTAGTAGTAGCGATATTTTTGAAGAAAAATCTCGGAAACTAAGGCCGAGCGGCGGTTATACAGGGTGTTCGGCCACCTCTAGCAAAAATTTTAATGAACGATAGTAGAGGCCAAAATAAGACGAAAATCAAGAATACTAATTTGTTGATGGAAGCTTCGTTAAAAAGTTATTAACAATTAAATTCAAAAATTTCAAATCGTTCTGGAAAAATTATTTTCGGTTGCGGGGGTCAACTACAATCATTTTTGGTGAGTACACATACCTCCGAAATCCTATCTACTTTCGAGAAAAAAAATCGAGTAGGTGCTGAAATTTTTCGGCGAAAAAAAATTTTTCAAATCGTTTTAAAAAAATTATTTTCGGTTGCGGGGATCAATTACAATCATTTTTTATCATTACATATACCTCCGAAATCGTACGCACTTTCGAGAAAAAAATTCCTTACTGAAAATCCAATTAGGTGCCTAAATTTTTCAACGGAGAAAAAAAATTGCAAATCGTTGTGGAAAAATTATTTTCGGTTGCGGGGGTCAATTACAATCAGTTTTTGTCATTAGAAATACCCACGAAATCCTGCCCACTTTCGAGAAAAAAAATAGAGAAGGTGTGAAATTATTCGAGAAAATTAAAAAATTGCAAATCGTTGTGGAAAAATTATTTTCGGTTGTAGGGTTCAATTATAGTCATTTTTGGTGAATAGACATACCCCCGAAATCTTGCGCATTTTCGAGAAAAAAATTCAGTAAGAGCGGCACTTTAAACGTTAATAACTTTTTAACGAAGCTTCCACCAACAAATTAGTATTCTTGATTTTCGTCTTATTTTGGCCTCTACTATCGCTCATTAAAATTTTTGCTAGAGGTGGCCGAACACCCTGTATGTATAGGAAAAAGTTGCTCAAAATGTTGATTTCTACAACATATTCAAATATCATCGAAATCGGTGAGACCCGGCCTTTTCTAAATAATTACCTCATTTTCTTTCAATAATTCTCCATTGCAAAAATTCTACAGTATTCTTACATTTTTTTATATTTTAAAATTTTCCCATGTTATTAGAAAGTAGATATACAACGAAAGTTATACAATTTATAGTTCCTAGCATGTATAACATGTATATGTATATAACGCATGGTCGCTTCGTATGGAAAGTCAATGAATCTTCAAAAAGCGCCCAGGTCCGATTTCGAGAAATGTAAGGTCTGTCGGTCACGATGGCTTTTGTCGTTTACTGACGATTCGAACGGTTGGCGATGCCAGGCTTGCTTTCGAGAAATGTAAACGACGTCAGCGATGCAAGAGCGAGAAGGAAAGCGAGTATCAGCCTGTTCTTCTCGGCTCTTCCGAAACTCAACGAGCTCACGTACACGCAATTGAGCATAGTGTGCGAAAGCGAGGAATGAGGAGTTTCCGGGGCCCCGATGCACAGTCTGATTAAACTGATTTCGAGTCGCAAATACGTTTCTGCCGAGTTATTTTTTTAATAAATGATGTATTACAATTTAAAATAAAAAATAGAGAATTTGCGGTGTACGTATCAATGAAATACATCCTTATGAATTTTAATAATCTTGAAATTTTTAAATACTCTTAATCGATTGATTTCTCCAATGAAATTAATCGATTAATGTCCAATGATGGACCCTACAGCTTTAATTCCGTTAAAAAATAATAAAATTTATGTAATTTTATTTTCTGTCTCACTTCCTCTTGTGTTAATTTCTGAATCTGTTGATAACGTAGCGAGTGACACGAAAATGGTAATGGGGTCCCGGGACCCCAGAAACTCCGGCCGAAAAATTACATTACGTGAAACGTCTATTCATATATCTCGTCTGTGGTAATACAGTGTTTTCACAAACCCGATACAGAAGAGTTATAAAAATGTAAAAGGAAATAGAAGTTTTTATGTTTGTCAATTCTTAGTTAAAAATGAAAAGACAAATTGATCAAACTGATTGTAAAAATTTATTACATTCAACATTCTTTTCAGTGCTAAATTTTTAAAGCTAGCGTGCACGTTATGCGAAGATTCTGGAGTTGTGTTTGTTTAGCATATACGCTAAACAAACGTAGGCCTTGGTGGCGTCGCCTCCCATGCTCGCCACCAGAGGGGTGGCACTCTCACAAGAGCTTGACTGACCTCTCGGTTGCTATTATATGTTAATAGGGATGTGCGAACGCCCGATATTTCGAGTTCGAGCCGAGTTGAAGAAAGTCGAGCAGGCTTGAGCGGGCTCCCGAGACATTCGAACTTTCGGGCGGCTCAACCGATCGACTCGACTCTACGGTTCGACTGTTTGTTGGATATTTAATAGTAATTGTTAGGAACTTTGCGAGGTTTACGATACGGTTGCTTGTGAATACCGCTATTTTTGAGGATAGCTCATTTCAATTCGCTTGTTAATAGTTACAGCTAAACGAAGAGTCAGGGCCCCTTAAAAGAATTATTACAAAAATTGAAGTAATTAGGAGGAACTCGTACCAGGGCCGCGCCCTGCTCCGTCGTTCTCAATAGCGATTGACGGTGTCAATAAACCTTTCAACTAGCGCGGTCGATTAACGGCCTTGGTACCTGGGCACGGTCCCCGGTCGGTTGTTGTGAAATATCCATTTTCGGGGCAGTTTGTAGCCCGACTAGTTGGGCGGCAACCTGGACTAGACGGATTTCGGAAATCCAACCCCCGACCAGGGACGTTGGCTGAGATTGGTCAGTTTCATTACGCCTCATCGGCAATTTTTTTAGAAGAGCATCGAAAGACTATCGCGGATTAGCAACAAAATTATAGTTGGAAACGTCACTGTATCTCTTGTTGAAATTAATAAACACCGAATACGAAAACATTAGTTTTCTTCAGAGAAGGTGGCCCTTCGAGTTGTATCTAGTCGGCACACCACGTGCAAACTTACAATTTCCGAACGAGCAACACTCGACCACGAAGCGAACAGTAATAATAAAAACATAAAAGCATATGAATATGTTTTTTAACATATAGAATTAATACAGGAAGTAGATACAAGGTGGAATTCGACATATGCCATGTTCAAAAGATATATTGTGTTACAAAAATCGTTGAATGTATTACTATGTGAAAAATACATCCCAGATAATTTAAGTATATTAAGTAGAAGAGTGGAATTTCATGGAAGCCCTGATAATGATTCTCGAACCACTAAAAGAGGCAACAGAAGATACGAGCGGAGATTCGTATCCTACCATATCCCACTACTTCCCCATGTATTTTGCATTAATGCACATATTAAAAGAAGAATCGGCAGAAAATGCATTAATTGCAAATATTTCCAACAGCGTTCAAAACGCATTAAAGGTAATTTTAATTATTTATCGGAAAACGACAATAAAACAATATTAAAAAATAGACAGAAGGAATTATACAAGAAAGTATTAAATCAAAAATATAATATTTTACTTACAGGAACGTTTTGAACCAATTATTCAAAGTAATTGGATATACTATCACAACATGCTACTAGACCCACGTTTTAAAGACCACTTGTTACAATCGACAGAAAAACATATAATACATGAACAATTTAATGAAAGAATTTCCACAATTTACAATGAAGCTAACGATAATAACAAAGAACAGGGCAACATTCCAAGCATCAATTTTTATTTTTTAATTTCATCAATTTCAAATTTATCATTATATTATAATTTGTTGATTAGGTGCAACAAAATCAAAATTATCTCATTTTTTTTTATAACACGCTGGGCAACACAGAAGAAGGACCAATAACGTTTACAATGCGTCAAAATAGAGAAATACAGGCATACTTCGCTGAAAATTTAGAACCGTGGAAAACAAATATTATAGACTGGTGGAAATCAAATCAGACACGATTTCCAAAACTGTCTCGAGCAGTTAAACATTGTCTTGCTGTACCAGTAACACAAGTAAAAAGCGAATGCTTATTTTCTACTGCCGGAAACATAGTAATGCAAACTCGAGCGCGATTGCTGCCAGTAAATGTACAAGGACTATGCTTCTTACATGAAAACTTAAAATAAAATGTTAATACATGTCGTGTACGCCGCGACAACGTTGGAAATTGTTGACTCGCGACGAAGTATAAAATGCTGGTTGGTTTAATAATTTATTTATTAATGAAGCGCGATTGAAGTCCACGGCGAGGACCTTTACAACAGTCTGCTCGGAATTTTGGAGTAATCTCGTTCAGATTTTAGAGTGTCCTGTCTGTAGCTCGCAGTCTACCTTATATGTCTAATTTTAGTGGGTGGAGACGCCGGAATTGGGATGGAAAATTGGGAGTAGTTTATCAGACATTGGCTAGTAGGGAAAAATGTAAGCTGGGACCTAGGAAAAGGAGTGGAGGTGTGCATAAGGCTGTTTTGGAAAAGGAAAGTCGGTTAAAAGGACACCAGGGTGAATGAAAACATATTGGAAATTGGTCGAGCGGCGCCTCCAACCACCTAGCCGACGTCTGGCCTTAAGAATACCACTTGCCCAGGAGATGAAAAATGCCTAATAAAGAGGCGAGCAAGTGGTTGGGCCTACCCTAAGTGGTCTGCGACGCAACAATACATACATGTTAAAAAACATATTCATATACTTTTATGTTTTTATTACTATCAAATATCCAACAAATAGTCGAACCGTAGCGTCGAGTCGATCGGTCGAGCCGCTCGAAACGTTCGAGCCGCCTGAGAGTTCGAATGTCTCGGGAGCCCGCTCGACTTTCTCTAGCTCGATCTATCGACTCGGGCGTCCGACACATGAGACGGGCTGCACATCCCTAAGCCTATACATATACATATACATTTCTCGAACGTCTTCCCAATATCCCAGTCGTCTAAGGCAGGGCCTGCTAAAAAGCCTTACTGACGAGTCCGCCAACAGGCTCGGACGAAACGCGCCCCCTCCTTTCCTTTTCTGTCCTACAAATTTCCCGAGTTCCTACCCGCAGCAAAGCAGCGCCAACAGCCTCGTAAATTTCTCAAAGAATTAATCGACGAAAACAAAGTATAAAAGAAAAGATTTGTTTATAGGAGAATTACGTGCAAATGGAAACTTTAGTCCGCGAATTGAGGAAGATCACTGAAAGAATTGTAGAGGGTGCCGATGAGAAGACAAAAGAGTGGCACACGAAAAGAGGAAAACTTTTACCGCGAGAACGAATAAACGTGCTCCTCGATCCAACCTCTCCTTTTCTCGAACTTTCACAATTGGCTGGCTACAAACTGTACGAAAATGAGGAAGTGCCAGCCGGTGGTATTATAACTGGCATAGGTAGAGTAAAAGGGTAAATATCATTGATTTTGGATTACAGTATGCAGTAAAAGTTCTTTAGTAAAATTCGATTATTTGTTAGGACCGAGTGCATGATAATCGCGAACGATGCAACCGTGAAGGGTGGTAGTTATTATCCGATTACGGTGAAGAAACAATTAAGGGCTCAGGAAATCGCGGAGGAGAATCGCTTACCTTGCATATATTTAGTGGACAGTGGCGGCGCGAATTTATCCAAACAGTCCGAAGTGTTCGCCGATAAAATGCATTTTGGCAGAACCTTTTACAATCAGGCAATGATGAGCGCAAAGGGAATCGAACAAATCGCAGTAGTTATGGGGAGCTGCACGGCAGGTCTGACTATTGCATGTTTTTTCTACTTAATCCTTTCATTCCCACTGTAGACCCATGGCTACATACAGGGTGTTCGGTCACCCCTGGGAAAAATTTTAATGGAAGATGCTAAAGGCCGAAATAAGACGAAAATGAAGAATACCAATTTGTTGATTGAGGCTTCGTTAAAAAGTTATTAACGTTTAAAGTTGCGCCTGTAGAACGGCAATCTGTGAACAGCTGGGTACGCGTGATAGTTGTTTCGTGTCGAGGTCGGTTCGTACCTCGCAATTGCGTCGCGATATCCCGCACGGTTGTGCCCGTCTTCGAAGTTGTAAATTTCGAAGTTACCTTCGATCGGGTTAAATGGTCGGTCGCGACGCGTTGCTTCTAGGACTTAACCCGGAAACAATGTTTCTAAATTATTAAGCAGCGTGAACGGTGATGCGGACGAATCGCACGTAAGCCTTCAGTCCAAACGTTGACTCGAAGGGGTGGTCGAACTGTTAAAAGAATGGAAAAATATCCTCGAAGTAAATCGTGTGATCGAATCAGAGTTGCAATGTAAAAACCGGATCGCGGTGAAGATGTATGTATCGACTCTCGGTTGATTTGCAAGTGACGACTCGGCGTCGTCCGAACTTCCTCGCGACGTCGGAAGTGTGGGGAGCGACACTGATTGGTGATTTCCAAAAATTAAAAAATCCAATCAGCGTGCCCGCTTAGACCTCGTCACCACCCTCTATGCGCCTTTGGCGCGCCTTCTTTTAGAAGAGAGTGGGGCGATACCTGGTTGTACGCGAATGTTTCGACGTCCGACAATATCGCGGCCTTCCTCTGGGTTTTTCCGCTCGAAGGTCGAAGTCCCGTTTTCGACGTACTCTTCGGAAGACCGAGTTTATGACCGGCTGAGCTATTGAGAACGAAACGAAAAAGTAAAATTCTAAATCCATTATTCGAAAAGTTAAATGGTTAAATTGCCGGCAATTGAATAAAATATCTTTTCTCAAAAATAGCTTTACGTCGCGGACCTACCATAAACTGACAACGAAATATTCGCGTATTGTGTTCCTTCGGACGGAACAATAGTAGTTCTCACTCACAAAACTGTAAGGCTGTGGATACGTCAGTAAGTAACTCTCATGCTAAATAAGAATGTGGTGTCGCCTCCCATGCTCGTCACCAGAGGGGTCGCGCTTTTACAAGTGCTCGACCGACCCCTCGATTGCTATACATGTATACATATATTCCTTGACCGACTTTCTAACATCTCACAATCAGTCGTCTAAGGCAGGGCCTGCTAAAAAGCCTTACTGATGAGTCCACTAGCAGGCCCGGACGAAACGCGCCCTCTCCTTTCCTTTTCTGTCGTCCTACGATTCTCTCGAGTTCCTACCCGCCGCAAAGCAGCGCCACAAGAACCATTATCGTGCGCACGCAGCTGTCTGCAGATTGCCGTTCTACAAGCGGAACTTTAAATGTTCATAACTCTTTAACAAAGCCTCGATTAACAAATTGGTATTCTTGATTTTCGTCTTATTTTGGCCTCTAGAATATCCCATTAAAATATTTCCCAGGGGTGGCCGAACACCCTATATAAAGGCTGATTGTAGACGCCAAAAGAAGACGAAAATGAAGAATAATGAAATTGTGATCAAATCTTGACCTTGTAATTATAAGCGTTTAAAAATTTGTACACATGCATATACAGTAATGGATCTTAAAATGAAAATCGCTCCGTGGCTAGCATGTCCTTTTAAGTACATACGAGGGCGGTCCGATAAGTACTTAGCCTCACCACCCGATGGTCGCCACGATGGCAAGAGAAATTTACTATCGTGTAGTACATTCTTGTAGACAGTTACTGTCAAAATTTCAGCCGAATCGGACTCGTAGTTTTGTTTTGACCGCGTGTGGAAGCGGGTGTGGAAGCGTATTTTAGAAAAATGGAAAAAGAGCAATATCGGTCGGTGATTCGATTCTTGTTTTTGGAAGGGAAATCGCGCAGCAAAATCAAAGAGCGCTTGGATGCTGTGTATGGTGACTCTTCTCCTTCGATGGTGACCGTCAAAAATTGGTTTAACGAGTTTCAACGTGGTCGCACGTCAGTTTTTGATGAGCCACGTCCAGGTGCCCCGAAAACGGCTATCACGGAGGATAACGTGAAAAAAATTCACGATCTCGTATTGGCAAACCGACGATTGAAGGTGCGCGAGATAGCTGAGACAGTAGGCATCTCAAAAGACCGCGTGGGTCATATCCTGCATGAAATATTGGGCATGAGAAAGCTGTCGGCGCGATGGGTGCCGCGTTTGCTTACTCCGGACAACAAGCGCAACCGTGAGACCACTTCAGAGCAGTGTTTGATGCTGTTTAGGCGCAATCCGAAGGAGTTTCTGCGTCGTTTCGTGACCGTCGATGAAACATGGATCCAGTGGTACACACCAGAGACCAAGGAACAGTCGAAACAGTGGACTTCACCCGGCGAACGTGCTCCGAAGAAGGCGAAGACTGTCCTATCGGCCGGAAAGGTAATGGCCACCGTTTTTTGGGATTCAAAAGGTGTGATCTACATCGACTACCTGGACAAGGGCAAAACGATCACAGGGCTCTACTATGCCGGATTATTGGGCCGATTCGACGCCGAATTGCAGGAAAAACGGCCCCATTTGGTGAAGAAAAAAGTGCTCTTCCACCATGACAATGCACTGGCTCACACCTCCGCTGTCGCCAAGGCCAAATTGGTCGAATTAGGCTACGAACTGCTGCCTCATCCACCGTATTCTCCAGATTTGGCCCCGTGCGACTTCTTTTTGTTTCCAAACTTGAAAAAGTGACTTGCCGGGCAGAAATTTGAGTCGAATGAGGAGGTTATCGCCGCCACGGAGGCCTACTTTGCAGACCTCCAGAAAACGTATTTTTCAGACGGGTTAAAGAAGTTGGAGCATCGCTGGGTCAAGTGTATCGAGCTGAAAGGAGACTATGTAGAAAAATAAATCGCCACTTTTCCAAAATTTTTGTTTTTCTTTTGTAGGCTAAGTACTTATCGGACCGCCCTCGTATGTACAGTGGAAGCGAAATTCGACACCAGTAGGGAGCTCATTTTAAGAATCATTACTGTGATATGATGATATCTGTAAAAGTTTCCTTATCGTTGGATAAAATAATATTTTATGCAAAGCCAAATGTTTTTTAAGACTATATCGTATTTTTAATTTATTTTAGTTCAGACAACACCCACAACTATGGAGATTAATTTAATTTCTTCATTTTCAATGCCAATCATGAATACAAATCTTCCTTTTACACATTCTATGTATTAGGTCGTCCCATAACTTCGTGTCGAGTTTTGAACTAAAATTTAATCTTGTTAAGCTCATTTTTCAATACTATAATTTAAACAAATGCATTTCTTATCGATTCATCTGTACAGTGGAATTTGTAATAAAAAATATATGATTCATTTGTTTGCACTTTTCTAATATTTTTGATAGCTTGCGACATGTTGGAGTAAATACGTTTTACTGCTTCTACTTTGAGGGCGGATTTCACTCCTTCAACACGAACGATGGCAGATAAAAAAATTACGGGTCAAATATTTTTGGTCGCTCTGCTAGTGTGCCAAATATTGTTGAAATTAGCGATTGACACTTTGGTATGTTCCGTTTTAAGTTATGAATGTTATCTCTCGTCAAATCGACAAAAATTCGAAAGGTACGAACTTATGGGAGAACTAATATATTATAAATGAATAACTTCGTAAAAATCAGTCATTTGAAAAAATTCCTGTAACTGATTAGAGCAAAATTTTATTCTATATTCGTGATAGTATTTGACTAATGTATTTAGGGGGTGCGTATATACCGTCAATGGCCGACGAGAACATCATCGTCGGTAAACAAGGAACGATCTTCTTGGCTGGGCCTCCCTTGGTGAAGGCTTCCACCGGCGAAGACATTTCTGCAGAGAATTTAGGCGGCGCTGCGGTTCATTGCCGGTAATTAATGTCTACGTTAAAGGGTTACGTGCACCTGAACACTTAGAAAACCATCAATTTTTTGGTTACCATCTTGGTTTATACGAAACAAAAAATCTAAATTTGTATGGTTGCAGGTGACTAATTGCACCGTTATATGAAACGAATCTAGAAACTGAGACAGGTTGCAGCAATATATTCTTACATTTAATTTAAAAATGGAATTATGTTTCTTTAACTGTTCGGGTATGTGCGACCGCTTAGCGAGCGTATAACCACTAAAGTCCTAATTTCTTAATTACGCCATTGGGTTCAGGATGTTTAATCCTCGCTTAGTGGACTCGAGATCCATTATTACCTTTAAAAATTGTTTATTTTAGAATCGCAGTTTTGATTTTTATTAAATAAATTATAATAATTAGAATCTTATATTGGAATGCGAAATAATGAAAGTCAGATTCGGGTAAAAATGGACTTGGAGTTCATTTTTCTGAACTAATTGGACTACTATTGGATCATTAAGGTGCGTATTCACTAGTTGCGTATTCCCGTATCGTATTTCCGTTGCGTAACATAATGAACAAACAATCGTTGCATCGGTGCGTGAGAAAACGTAATTAACACCTTATCGTTCGGTAGCCTATTAATCAGCTTTCTGTCGTCAACGTTTACCGACCTGTAGCTTATCAACCGGTTGCTATGAAAATAAAAAATGTTACTAGATTTAATTACCCTATAACAGAACAATACAGTGAGCATTTTTACAAACGACTTAACATTTCTATAGGTGTAAGAAGAAGCATATATTCTAGCCTAGGGTCAACAGCTACCGGTAGGTAAAGTGTTAAGGTATATAATCACAGACGAGGTATACAAGTAGACCTTTCACCTAATGTATATTTGCGGCCCATTTTTCTGGGGCCCTAGAGCCCATTACCATTATCGTGTCACTCGCAACGTTACCAACAGATTTAGAAATGAACACAAGAGGAAGTGAGACAGAAAATGAAATTACAGAAATTTTATTATATTTTAATGGCTGTACGGTCCATCATTGGACATTAATCGATTAATTTCATTGAAGTAAACAATCGATTAAGATTGTTTAAATAACGCGTTAATTCGTTATTAAGAAACGGCGGTTAAATTCTCGCGTGATCTATGGAAAAAAGGGGACATTTCTTATACGGTGTTGTCCTCAGTGTTCGCGACATTCCAGAGCCTTCTCTGCGTCGTAACCTGCTTCGGGAGCAATACCGTGTAGAAAACATCCAAATTTACCTTCAATCATAGTCACGCGATCGGCCCAGTAACGGTTCCATGAGAACAGGTGTTACTACGCCGAAATAACAGAGAGGATACAAGATTAATACGAGACAGACAATCTCCCCTCTCGCGAACGCGCACAAGAGGGTCCGTCTCGACAATCACTTGCTATCTGGTTCTCGACGAGTTCGCTTCGTCCAAGCCGACCTCGTCCAACACCGCGATCACGATATACGCGCAATTAAATCCGTTTAATTGTATAGTTACACCACAGAACCGAAACGGAACGAAATTAAGACTGTGGTAAATTCGAAAGAATTAACCTAGTCGGATTTCGTACCACACGGTTTCGTGAGTTTAGTGATCGTTGTGTGAACAGAACCGTTCTGGAAAAACGCAGCATTGAAACAATTTACAGTGAACAACCGGTGGCTCATCATAATCGTGTGTGCACTTCAATAGTGTTCGATTATCGCCACCGTTGCGTCAATTGTTTCAAATCATAAGCGATTTCCCACATTAACAACCGGTGGCTGATAACAATCATCGTAACACTTAAATAGTGTTTGATTGTCACCACCGTTGTGTGGAAGACACGTACCGCTGTAATCAGCTGTCGTGCAACGAGAACCGAGAAAAACTTCTCGGTTTTCCTTGAATTTTTGTGCGATTCAAACACTCTGATAGGGGCCTTTTGGCGTATACCCTGAGTGGGATTGTCGTTTCCGAGGGTCGAAATTTCAGTTTGAGTACCACCCCCATAGGGGCCTTATTTGGCGCATTCCCTGGGTGCTCTCGGCTGAATTCGATTAGCTCGAACGTCGGTCACCCATCACCAGTGTGTACGGACACTCGGTGTAGAGCGACGTTCAAAAGGGCGCCGTGGTGTAAGCACCTTAACCTTCAGACGCTTCTAGCGCAGTTAAGGTGTCTTGCATCACACCGGTCCCGTACGGACCAGGAAACGACGCTGAATCACGGAGTGGACAATTTTTGGAGCCTTACAACCTCCAACTGTTGTCACCTTCAGCCAAAATTCAAGCCAGCAGCAGTGGGAAGATCGAGGCTCAAATCTTGTCTTCCCCATCTGCTGTTAAAAGTTTCCAGAACTGCAGTCGAACGTTTCTCGATCACACGAGAAACGTTTAAGTATACAGTCCACTAACACAGTTGCGTATCGCTGTGAAGGAATCCCGCTCCTGTTTATCATAAACAGAGACAGGAGCGTGTGGATTGAAGCGAGTCAGACAACGCGACGAGCGTTGTCAAGTATTTACAGCCGAATTTCGGTCTCTGTTTGTTGCAGACGACCGAGACGCGAGCCGTAGTGGCCAGAGACCACGGCCAGGTTTTTTACGAGCCCGCTAACGGGCTCGGTTTTTCCTGGCGATTTAAAAAATTATAATTTTCTTCATTTTTGTTTTATTTAATCTTGTTTTTTTTTTATTAAATTTCAAACTTTTTAAATGAACGGCCTAGTCGATTGACTAGGCGAAAGAAAGGACAATGTTAAGTCATAGAGGGGTTTACTGACCCAAGAGCGTACAGCATATGCTATACACCGTTGGAAAGGTCTCGCCAAGGCGAATCGACTGATACCATTTTTAACTTCGATATCAGATGGGATAATGTCGAAAAATGGCCTCAAAGTTCGAGATTTTGCGGTTTTGAACAAAAGAAACCGGTAGTAAAAGCCCATCCGGCCCGAGAGACCTCGGGTAGGCACCTGAGGAAAAACCGAGGGGTGTAAGCGATACTCTAACAGATTGGGACGGCAAATGTGCCCCACCACCTTCATTTCAGTGCCGTGTTGGGCCTGCGTTTGTCGCATGGGCCCCGTTCCAAATGCCCAGGTCGAAATCGCCAATGGATCAGTTGTTTTTCATGAACATAATATATTCATGATAGACGATTCGCAGGTATGAGTTGGGAATGTGCAGGTTAGTATTCAGTATTCACATCATTATGTTTCGTTCAATCAATAAAATGTCACTCCATTCACTATTGTAAGTGACGCATTAGTGTGAATACTAACCTGCACATTCCCAACTTATACCTTGCGAATTGTATACCATGAATATATTATGTTCATGAAAAACAACTGATCCATTGGCGATTTCGCCGTGGGCATTTGGAACGGGGCCCATGCGGCAAACGCAGGCCCAACACGGCACTGAAATGAAGGTGGTGGGGCACATTTGCCGTCCCAATCTGTTAGAGTATCGCTTACACCCCTCGGTTTTTCCTCAGGTGCCTACCCGAGGTCTCTCGGGCCGGATGGGCTTTTACTACCGGTTTCTTTTGTTCAAAACCGCAAAATCTCGAACTTTGAGGCCATTTTTCGACATTATCCCATCTGATATCGAAGTTAAAAATGGTATCAGTCGATTCGCCTTGGCGAGACCTTTCCAACGGTGTATAGCATATGCTGTACGCTCTTGGGTCAGTAAACCCCTCTATGACTTAACATTGTCCTTTACAGTGTACCGATTCACTTTCCCACACATTCCCACTCCCTCGTAATTCGGACTCAACGTTAAAGGGTGAGAGCGATAACAACTCGCACCTATTTTAACAAAGATTATTTAAAGATTTCAAGGTTATTAAAACACCTAAGGATGTATCTCATTGATACGAGCACCACAAATCCTCTATTCTTTATTTTAAATTGTAATACATCATTTATTTAAAAAATAAATCGGCAAAAATGTATTTGCGACTCGACATCAGTGTTATCAGACCGCGCATGGGGGGGGCCCAGAAAGAAGCCCCAGTGAGCTCGTAGAGTTTCGGAAGAACTGAAAAAAACAGGCTGGTACTCGCTTTCTTTCTCGCTTTTGCATCGCTAACGTCGCTTACATTTCTCGAAAGCAGGCAGAGATGCCAGACGGAGCCTCGGGTACACCGAGGGCACATCATACCACTTTCTTACACTATGCCAGGTCACAAGTACATGAGCTCGTAGAGTTTTGGAGAGTCGTCAAAGGCAAACTGACACATGCCCTCTCTTTCGATTCTCCGAAGCTGCCTGAAATATTTTCGGACCGTCTCGTGGGAGTCGAGAGAGGAAGGCTCACATTTGCCTTCTCGCTCTTGAACAATTGAAATTCGACCTCGCATCACCGGCATGCGATTTCAAATCTCGACTGCCCAGACATTTTTACTTTTCGATCTCTGTAGGCTCACATAAGCAAAGTACCATAATAAAAAAAAATGTTGTGAAATTTTTTTTACGGAAATACACGTTTTAAGGTCCTGTTGCGACGTGAGTAGGCCCTCGCAATTTAGCATTTATGACAGGGTTAGTTGGCGACAGTCAATGCCCTCGGTCGAGCCGTTGGCCGGGCCTGCAAACGACTCTCGGCCTTTTGTTACCCAAGTGTTTCGAGCCGGAGCATTCTCCAACTTCGGTCGATGGCAAGACAAGTTATTGTTTCCGGCCATATAAATTCACAGCCCAAGTGCATGCATCTTGAGCAAACAAATTCGTGCCTACGCATAAGTAAATTCCATTAGACACGCCACTTCTTAGCAAGGCGACGGTTTAAGGCCCTTCAGATAACGGGTCGCCATAAAACTATAAATCAGTTTCGAACCGGGAACAGTCCTCGCGCCAAGCGAGAGGGTTCTCTAGGAAAACAGGGTCCTATTGAAATCGGGACACTCGGCCCAAACCGAGGCCTCCCACATGGCACACTGGCCAACTACTTTACGAGCTGTCAAGGAGTGTCTCGAGTTACCAAACTCAGACGACT